CCTCTGAGTCCAGAAGACTCCACCTCTGGAAACCTCCAACCCTGCACCAACACAACCGGGAAGAAGAAGAGGAAACGCAGGAGGAAGCACAAAGCGGAGCCACGTAAGGAGGAGCAAAGCACACCTGCAGGAGGGGAGCCGGAGCTGTGCGAGCTCAGTTCAGATGAGGAGCACACACACAACGGATGGTACGCAGACAGTTTAATATCACTTTGTGATGTGATGTAAACCTTTGTTAACGTCATCGTTTCCCGCCTTCAGGCCATCTTCCCTCTCCGTGATGAAGGAGAACATGGACCACCGGCAGCCTTCCCCCCTCACCGCCCTCGAATGGGACAGCTACCCGTTCTCTGACGCCGACTGGTCCCCTCGCACTACGTACGCACCCCCCACTCTGCCCATATTTACATTGTTCATACAAGCATAAAGACACAATCCACTTTATCATAACATGCTGAGTGAAAACACATCTCAGTGGAAATGTTGTTTGCTTACAGCGGGGAGATGTCGGAGCCCATATCGCACAAGAGTGACTCAGAGCTGATGCTGAAGCCGGAAGAGAGCATTCTCAGGGCCGAGTCCCACATGCAGTGGACATGGGGAGAGTTCCCAGAATCCACCAGGGTAAGGCTAAGACCTAGGTTGCTGTTGTTTTATGCTTTATGAACATGGACAACAGAGAAACATATTCTTCATTACCAAAGTTCAAACATCTTTTAAAAGTTGAACAAACCCCACACAGCTCAGTAAACACTGTGAAATGTTGACTTTATTTGATCATTTCAGTCAAAACTAACGTTCATATTTCTCTTTTTGATTATAATACTGATGAACGTTCAAAACAAAGCACTTTGGCAACTTACCACATACGTTTTAAAATGCTTAATAAGCACCGTAACGTTCATGATATCATTTCTCAGTCATAATCGGTTGTTTCCGTGAACGGCTGACTGCTGTGCGACGGCAAATGCTGCGGCTGCAATGCATTGTGGGGCAGCATTTTCTCCTCTCCTTTCGCAAAGGGAGGTCCAGTGGTTCCTAAGCTAAATGAGGTTATAAAGGAAGTTTGCTTTCCTATCATCTAGAGAATTCGAACGGCACTTATCATGGCTGCCACTGAGGGACTTCCGGGTCATTTCACTCCGTTAGGAAGGTTCCTAAGCTAAATGGACTATTCGACTGCAACCCGAGCCTAGTAGGACTAAACTTTGGGAGACAATAATAATACATCATGTCTTCATTTACACATATTTGGCTAATCAGGAAGGATTTTTGGAAAAGCATTTGTGTATATTTAAGTGTTATCTTGTGCTTTTTTTTCTAGGTCAACAAAAAGGACAAATCAGAGCCAAGGATGCTGACCATCACTCCCTCTGAGAACACACACTTCAGGGTTATCTTGAGCACTGAAGCCATGGAGGAAAGGGAAGAAGAGAGAACAGATCCCATTTGCAGTATAGTGAAGCCAGAGCCCCGCACCATCAAACCTGATCAGTGCAGCTGCTCCTCTCAGCGCCACGAAGCTCTGTCGGGAAACACAAACATGACCAGCCACAAAACAGACCTTTCAGATTTAATGTCCAGCAGTTTTACCTCGAGGGCGTGTCCCCCCAAATCTGACCTCAGCCCAAAGGCAGCCCACGCAATAAGGTGGAAGTCTTCGCCGCCGAGCTGCTGGGGCAGCGGGGGGGGCAACGTGGCTGCAGATTCAGCAGCTGTTTGTCCCGATTCAAGATCTAAACCCAGCGACTCCCCGGCCAAGAGGAGAGGTAACACACACTTTTATAACTCTATTTCTGTACACTATGCTCCTAATCTAAGGCAATTATAGAATATCTTCATTCTGCAGCAAGGACGTTTTACGGGTATTTCAAATAGGTCTTTATTATTCTTATTAGACATTTAAACATATATATATATTTGTATTATGTGTCTTAAATGCTGTGGGAAAATCTTGAGATCTCCAGACAACATGAAGGTTCTCTACATGCACTTGAGTGGATGTTGACAGGAAGGAAGTGGCTTGTAGTTGCGTAGAGTTTACATTCACATGCACAAGTTAAAGAAAAGGAAGTGAAAGGGAAAACTAATCTGAAATGTCTCGTCTTTGCTTTCTAAAAAAAGGTGTGAGCAAGAGGAGCCAACACCAGGGCCCTGAAGATATTTACCTGGACGACCTGAATGCACTTGAACCTGATGTTGTTGCCCGCTACTTCCCAAAAAGGTACACAGAAGCATAATTTATCCCACTCAGAGTTTCTTACTGTGTGAAATCAATTGGACCATGTGTGTCTTTGCAGTGACTCTGAGCAGGTTCCTAAACTCTGGGTGGAGAGGGGCCGGCGCTCTGGGTCCCAGTCCCCCCAGTCTGTGGGCAGCGGCGCGGCAGACAGCGGCACCGAGTGTCTGTCCGACTCCGCTGCCGACCTGCCCGACGTCACGCTGTCGCTGTGTGGAGGCGTCGCAGAGAACTCTGAGATCCCTAAAGGTACCTTGTAATCAATAATAGCAGCAATTATCAAATCCAAACTGATAAAACATGTACTACATCTTGGTTAGAATTCCAGTGGGAACAGTAGGTCCTATTTACAGAATGGAAAGTAGATTTTGGAAGCAGCAGCTGATTGAACTATATACCAGAAAGTTAAAGGCTATTTTTGTAATTTGCAAAAGGAAGAAATAAACATTTATTGACTGCTAGCCTTGAAATACTTCCCTGGGATTGCATAGGTGTACATGTGACGTGTATACACTTAATTATTTTACCTGTATTTAGACATTTCTTTTCTCAAATCCTTATTTACCACATTAGTTTGTTTTGCGTGTTAGGAGAACACCACTAATCCTATTGCTTGATTTTGTGACAAATGAACCTTTAAAACATTGAGTATGGTGCACTACATATTTTGGTACATGCATATCGAAATATGAACTATCATTTATAATGAGGCTTATACGTTCCATTTATTGCAGAGAAATTCATGGAGCACATCATCACCTATAATGAGTTTGCAGAGGATCCAGCGATAATTGACAATCCCAATTTGGTGGTTAAAATTGGAAACAGGTGAGTTGTTAAGGTTCATTTAATAACTCATTAATACCTAATAACATGCGCACATCACAGTTAATGAAACCCTTTTTTCCTCAGGTACTACAACTGGACCCTGGCAGCACCGTTGATACTCAGTATGCAGGCTTTTCAGAAGAGCTTGCCTAAGGTATCCTGTTTTCTACACTGTGTTTTAGTGTCCTCTTACTGTGAATAGTATCTGCACATAAGACATGTATTTACACATGAACTGTTTCTCTGAATGGCAGGCTACAGAGGAGGCCTGGGTGAAGGAGAAAATGCCCAAAAAGTCTGGACGGTGGTGGTTCTGGAGAAAGAGCAGCGTGAAGGTCAGGGGGAATCCCTCACTGTTTGTAACTTAGGAATTACTCAATGAGGAACAAATATAAAAATGGCTAATAATAATGTGTCGTCTTTCTTCAGTCATCATCAGAGACCAAGTTAGAGACACAAGAGTCCCTACCGGGAGAGACTGCCCCTCTCCAGGCCCCAGCAACACAGTGAGTCAGCATCAAGCAGTACAGTCACACACCAACACAGCACTGTTGGGTAAACATGTCCCACAAAGGCAGAATTAGCCTGTTAGTCATTTTCTGACTCATAAACATGCATTCAGGAGGAAGAACTTAAATGCTGTTTTGAATTAGGCAGCTGTAATTCACATTGTTATGTTGTTTTGTGCATGATTCTGCATATTTAGTGGACAACAAAGCAGAGATACAGGCAGAAGAGGTCTACTGCCCTCTGGTGACTGGAAATGGTACTGCAGGGATTTCTTGTTAACCACAGAATCATAAATGTGGCTTTTTGTCTATGAAATTGTGTTTGCGTCTGCAGGCAGAAAGCAGCAGAGAGGTCCAGCGACGATGAGACTGAAGAGCTGAGCGCTATGACAACCGCTACGACACCTACTGAGCATGTGCAGACAGAAGGCCCGACCCCGGCGCCTTGTCACTCCTACAAGAAGTCCCTCCGCCTGTCCTCTGACCAGATAGTAAGATCACTGATACTGGTAGCGAGGCTCAATTTAGACAAAGACAGAAACTGTGTCATCAATCTGCTATTTATCTGAGTGTGTGTATTAAAGCTCAGTGAACAAAAGAGGGAAGAGGACATCTTTGATATCGTTGGTGTACAAAACAGTAGTAAACCCCAATTCTTCCAGGTGTATAATCTTCTTTTATGTGGTTTTCTATTTCCCGCAGGCCAACCTGAAGCTAAGGGAGGGCCCTAATGATGTCACCTTCAGCATAACCACTCAGTACCAGGGGACATGTCGCTGCGAGGGCACCATCTACCTGTGGAACTGGGACGACAAGGTCATCATCTCTGACATCGACGGCACCATCACCAAGTACGAGAACGTCCAAATATCCATCTCTTCGTCACTTGATAGTGTTTATTCTCAGGCTTATTCCTCCTCATTCGCAATATTCAAAAGAGAGTTCTTACTGGTGTATTTACACCACTGCTCCTCTTCTCCCCTCAGATCAGACGTGTTTGGTCACATTCTGCCTCAGCTCGGGAAAGACTGGACTCATCAAGGCATCGCTAAGCTCTACAACTCCGTGCACGAGTAAGATATACATGGATTAATACTTACTATTCAAATATGTCAATAAGTAGATGGGCTAATAATAAATATCCTCCTGCTACAGGAACGGCTACAAGTTCCTGTACTGTTCGGCCCGAGCGATCGGCATGGCTGACATGACGAGAGGGTATCTGCACTGGGTGAACGACAGAGGGACCCTCCTGCCTCAGGGGCCCCTCATGCTCTCCCCCAGCAGCCTCTTCTCTGCCTTCCACAGGTGAGAGACCCTTTACCTCAGCGTTTATTCACAGCTTTTTAAACAACAGCATTTCATCGACCAAGATATTAATTTGAGCAGCTAAAGAGTGAATTTAGATACTGAAAAAACAAATGCATGTCAGAATTTAATGTATTTACACCGTTTTTATGTTCATTTTGAAAACGTTTAGACTATGAACTGTGATAAATGAGTTTTCTGTGTTTCTGTAACGTCAGCAGTGACATTTCATCTTTATTTATTTTGTATTCTTTTGATAGAGAGGTCATAGAAAAAAAGCCGGAAAAGTTCAAGATCCAATGCCTCACAGACATCAAGAACCTGTTCCTCCCAAACACACATCCCTTCTACGCAGCCTTTGGAAACAGAGAAAGTGTAAGTGTAACATGGTTGTTGTATCATTTCAAGTTAGGGGTTTTATCTTCACTTCTTCAGGTATTTTATGTTCAGACTTATTGTCTCTTTCTCCTGTATTGAAGGACGTGTTTGCCTACAAGCAAGTGGGCGTGCCCGTGTGTCGGATATTCACAGTGAATCCCAAAGGAGAGCTAATCCTGGAGCAAGCAAAAGGCAATAAAACATCGTGAGTACGGAGGCATCAATGGAGTTTGTTTGTGTCTCTCAGACAAACGCTTACTGTTCCCATCGCTGTTTTTCATTTCCCAGATACAGCCGTCTGAGCGAGCTGGTGGAGCACGTGTTCCCTCTACGCAGCTCCCAGCACAGCGCCACCTTCAGCTGCCCCGAGTTCAGCTCCTTCTGCTTCTGGAGGCAGCCCGTCGCCGAGGTGTGTTTAGAGGAGCTGCTTTGACTCAATCTGGGGTTCATATTTGAAATGAAGAGGAATGGCTTCTAATATAAGAAATTCTGGAATAGCTTGATATTGTCACATTCCACTTTAGTGAAAGAGTTTGGGATATGAATGTACTCCACGTTTATACATCACATCTAAATTAAGAGGTGTATTTGAGGCTTTTGGCGCATACAAAAGCCAAAACATGAGTCTCGCCATTCAAATCGGTTTTTGTTAGTGTAGGTAGATATTACCGAAGCACTGATTTTGGCAGTGGAGGTGTTTAAACTGGCCACTGTTCAGTATGAAACAAATACTGATTGTATTTCTCTCTTTCCATGACTTGAGGGCGATCATAAAACATCCACGGTTATATTTATAGCAGCTATATTTGCATCCCTTGTAAGGCCTTACTCACTCTTTAGTGGCCTTATATCTCTGCTTACTAACTTTGCACAACGCAACTAATGACTTAGTTAATAATTGCATTGCTGTAATTGAAAAAAGGAAGTCTTTATGAACTGTAGACGCTGATATATTGGTATGAAGTATATTTGCAAAGCCCAGATTGAATTAGATAATTATTAACTAATCTGCTGCTGTGTGACGTTGCCATGGTAAACCTGCAGTATATTAATGTTATGCCTCTTTTTGTTTTGATCCTTTTCACGCTCAGTAACAGCTGAAAGGTGACGTTTTCTTTCTATGAAAGTGAAGAACTCTGTGTGAAGAGAACACACACTATACTGTATATCTGATTTTGTGGAGACGTAGCTCACGTTTCAGGGTAGAAACCTCTGCTGATGTGTTTTCTGGAGATGATGTAACAATGAGAGCACAAAGAATGTTTTAAATGACTGTTTTGAAGAAAAACAAGTGGACAAATACATTCAACAGTTTGCTTTGACAGTTATTTAAAGTAGTGTATATTGTGAACGCTGTATTAAATGTTAAATTAAATGACAGTGCTCTAATAAAAGCACAAGCTATATTTGAAGAAAAAAGCCTTTTTGCACATTTTTGACAATCTTAGCTTAGTTTAGGATGTTATAGGTTGTTTCTGAGAACAAACACTTTAATAGATTTCCTAAGTAAGTATGAACAAATCTGATCAACGGGAATTTCATTTTTACATGTTTTTAAATATTAAGAAACTGCGGTGGACGGCAATAAAATGTGTTAGAAAGAAACAAATATAACAAAAAAATGCAGTGTAAATGCTCTATATATTAGTACTTAGGATAGAAATAATCTCATTTATTGAGACTATTTTTAACCTCTTTTAGAGTGTCTTTCCCTCCCTGATAATAGAAAATCACCATTAGCCTTAATACGTCCATGATATGATGAGGTGTCTTTAAATAAGGCATGGCTACCGTTTGGAGGGGCTGCTGGGGTGAAGCAGCGTGGCGCTGAAAGATGACAGGATCTCAGAGGAAGCGGAGATGGCGAGTTTCCCCGCCGTCATGATGACTCCCGCTCGGTCTCCTCTCCTCAGCGGCAGCACCAGGCTCAGGGAGGTGGAGCTGCTGCAGGGACACTGGTCATGTGACAGAGGTGAAGCTGCTCCGGACAGGAAGCCGGTGGAGTCTAACTTCTGGACGCTGCGGTTGGACACGGAGAGGACCGCCTCCACCCTCTCCCCTCGCTGCGCCGCCAGCACGGCCGTCACCAGGTAGCGGCCGTCAGTGGGCGCTGTGAAGATTCCTGAGAACAACACACGATGATTTTTATGTCCACCACTTCAGATACAAATATTTTACCAACTGTTTGATGGATTCCCATGAAAAATGTAGTCCAAACATTATTCTATTAATTGCCAAACTAATGAACCAATAATCAGACATTTTAAATTATAAACTTGTGTCAAATGTAGCTTTGTGTCTTTGTTTGGGTTGTGAGAGTGTAGTCACTGTTACCTGTGTGAGCGTCATAGTGTCCACCATCATTGAGCAGCACCTTGTCGAATCTAATGATCCCCTTCTCTCCCTGGAACGGCTGCAGAGTCAGCCCGGCGGAGAACGACGCCCTCTCATCTGAACACAGGAAGAAACATGAACTAACAGCCGTTACCCTCACAGCGGGTGTAACCTGAATATTTAATCAATTCTGACCTGAAGCAGAGGCAGGTTTCTGGCGTGGCATGTTAACATCTGTGGAGAAAGAGAAAACATTTCATCCACTCGAAACTGTTGAGTAATTATGCAGCACAGAAAAAAGTCTAACAGGTATTTACCTAAGATGAGTGGTTTTCTTGTCTTAATGGGGTCAGGGGGGGCTGTGAAATAAAACATAAAGATGAGACACGTGGAATAATCCTTGGAAACATGCAGAAGCTCATCCAGAATGCAGCGGCTCGTCTGGTCTTCAACCTTCCTAAATGTTCCCACAGCACGCCGCTCCTCCGCTCACTTCACTGGCTTCCAGTAACTGCTAGAATCCACTTCAAAACAATGGTACTTGCTTACCATGCTGCGAATGGATCTGGCCCTTCCTACATCCAGGACATGGTTAAACCGTACACCCCAGCACGTGCACTCCGCTCTGCATCAGCCAAACAGCTCGCTGCACCCACACTGCGAAGGGGACCCAAGTTCCCATCAGCAAAAACACGTGGGTTTGCTATCCTGGCTCCAAAATGGTGGAATGAGCTCCCCATTGACATCAGGACAGCAGAAGGCTTACACATCTTCCGGCGCAGACTGAAAACTCATCTCTTTCGACTCCACCTCGAGCGATAGAATTACTAACAAAGAACTGCTAACAAAGCACTTATATACTAATAAAGGGCTGGCTTACCTAAAGCCAGTTGAGTAGCACTTGAAATGTTTGGCTCTATGAAACCTGATGTACTTATATGATTCTGTTTTCTTCAAGGTTGTGTCTTCCTGGTCGAATGCACTTATTGTAAGTCGCTTTGGATAAAAGCGTCAGCTAAATGTAATGTAAAGAATTAGTGTGAGTGTCTGACCTGGAGCGCCAGCGAAGCCCAGGACAGGCATCATGCTGCCGTCCGTTCCCTTGGGCAGCTTGGACGAGGTCATCTTCCCTGGAGGTCCCGCCTCCCCGGTCTCCATCACAGGGGGCTCCAGCGGCCCTGTGAGGCTCTTACCTGCACCCTGGGGAAGCCCATGGTCCTCCACTGAAACATGAATACCTGAAAGAGACAGATGCAGAGATTGATGAGGCTGCAGGTCAGAGAGACGCAGGCCAAAGGTGGAGGCCATTCACATTTAAATGATGAGCCAGAGAGGCAAATGGCAAAGAAAACAACAGTTTGCTGTTTTAAGCCTGCTGACCTGAGACATAAAAGTGTCAGTCTTATTTTGAGCTGACTAATGGTAGGTGCAGGTTTTTGATTTAATGAGGGTTTTTTAGGTTATATATTACACATTCATTTGTGCCAAGGAGGTCAAAAAGGTTTGAGAATAAATGTCCACCTTTAACACAACCCTACTTTTTTTAAATAACGGCATTTACTTGGGGACTTCTCTTGTTTATTTTGGGTGGCACTGTCAATATATATATACATATATATACTGCAGTTTATCAACACATCACAACACTGGCTGGGGGGCACACACTCTGGGCCACCACCAGACAACAGACTCCAATAAAAGGCATACCAAGACACGGCCACATGTTCAATCACCAGACGGCCTGCCCCCTCGGCCCGGGGAGAAGAAGGGTCATTTAGAATGGAAGCCTGTATAACACAGCATGTGGAGAGGGACCGGTGTGTGTGGGGGGGGGTAAGTCTGCGTGTCCGCACATGTGCATGGTTTGATAGCCATGGAGTCTTTTAATGTCAGGATTCAAAACCGATTTCAGAGCAGGAGGATAAAACAGGCACACAGGATGTATGTCCGTACGCCAGAGTGTTTGTCATGATGAAAGAGGGGGGCTATAAACACAAGCAGCTGGCTCTTCTGAAAAGACGCACACTCCCAGCAAAGAGGCATGGGAAAACCTCGCTCTGTTAGTCACTTAACCCCCCCCCCCCCCATCAATAGTTCCAACCCCCTTGTGTCCCAAGAATGGCCACTTTCCACATTACATACCACCTAATTATGACTGCAAGGCAATTTGTGGGTGTTGACTTTATGAGTCACCAAAACACCCTCAAGACTCAGGTTTAAGAATCAATAAATCTAGATCGGCATCCAGAAGTCACAGAGGAGATAGATTGCAACAACAAAGGCTTTATTGAACTTCTGGAGGGCTTAGTCGAGCCCCGTCTTGTTTTGGGTTCATGGGGTTATCATGTCACAACGCCGACCAGAGCCCCCCCCCCCTAATCTCTCACAGGAAAGCATCTTATCTGAGAAGGTGCCGGTAAAAGAGCGCTACGATGCTTTGGGTGACTACAGGACACCTTGATAAACAGAGAGGGATGTGCTCTACAGAAGGAAAGACAAGATAGACATTTCACATATAATGAACTGGTGAAGTGACACATCATTTATTTATAAAGTATACAATACAACTAAAGACATAAGGGGAGTTATCATGGAAATGTGGCTAAAGCCAAAAAAGCTTTTAAGTGGACCTTGTTTAAAAAAAATCTGGTACAACTTTCTAATAATAAGACATGGTTCCCAATGGTTTAAGTCATAGTTCAAAAAATATAAAGATTGAAAAAACTATTTTGGGTTGCCAGGTTGTGAAAAATCCCTTTGTTTATTCTCCTTCACTAGGATACCTAAATTATCCATTTAAATAGCTTATACGTTTTGGTGGACACTAAATGACCATTTACCTTTAAGGGGGGAAACATTGCAAAATATTCAGGTGAAATGAATTAATGGATTATAACCAATGTATTTATTATTAAAAAAAACTATTAGCTACAACTTTAAACAGTATAAAGGGTGCCTTGTTGAAGGTGGTATCAGTTTCTATTACAGCATTTTTACCATGTCATGGATTGATCTAATTTCAGCACAATTATTGATAGTTTAGATTTCCACAAAATTCAGTAACTGTTATGCACATGTACTGGACGCCCAATTGTTGAATAAAGAAATGGGATGTTTGGAGAAAAACCGTATGTATTTCTGTCATTTTGTGTCAACGAGCTATTATAAATTTAAGCTACAACTTCATAATTGGCGCAGAAAGCTACAAAAATCATTTTAGGAATGACAAAATCCCTGGCATCTGTCTTCTTCCCCTTCCTGACCCTCTCATTTAGAGTTAACAACTGCTATGACATCATGGCCCTCACATTGACAAATGGCCCCTGGGACACCCGGTGCAGCTTTTAGGGTTTCCACTGTTTATTTCAACAGAAAAGGAACTCAGCCATGCAAGCTAAACAAGTTTTAAAAAACTGCACACTGAAGAGACAGAGTAAAAAGAGGATATGGGTGATATGTGGAACCAGTAGCACTCAGAAGCTCTTGGCTCTGATATAAAGGCTCCCTGTGATAAGCTGAGCAGAGGGCTCTCTATTATGGTCTCCTCCAAGCAGCTTTTTCCACTCTCTGCAGATAAGCTGGGGTGGGCGGCACTAGGATGAGGCAGCTAGCAGGGCAAAGACAAACAAGGAGCAAACATTTTTTCACAGAGCCAGTGTTCAGAATGGCCCCGGTGACACCGCTGAGCATGAGTGGAAATCGTGAATAACTGTGCTCCCACTTGCAAAACTTCCCAATGACAGCATGATGAATCAAACGCCATATTATGACAACAAGCACGGGGTGGAGTGGCAATAATCACATTGGCACAAATGAGAAAACTGGCAGCCATAGAGATGATTCAAGACATAACAAAAATATCATGATGCAAATCCTCTGGTCTGACTTGGACTGTAACCAGAACAAGAACCAGGACTATTTTATTCCAGCCCACATCCCGGGAGAACCTGGAGGGGATCATGTACTGCATCACCTGCGCCATAAACCAGGGACTGAAAAACTAGCCGGTCCCAGAGGAAGAGAGTTGGCTCGTAAATATTAAGGCCGTGCTTCTAGTTCACTTTACAACTGTGGGAGTCCGAGGAGTCCAGCTGGGTCTCAGGCACCATTAATGAGCAGACTTATACCACAAATATGCAACATATGCAGCAATATGAACATGTACTCTCAAAATATGCTTACACCAACCAAAGTCTTACAATAGTATCCAGTAAACTGATAAACTACATAGCTTAAGAGCTTAACAGCGTTTATGGACACATAAAGGAACACTTTGATGCACACAAAAAAAAGCCAAGCAAGCAATATTTCTTTATGCCAAGGCATTGCTCAACACAAGTGGGGTCTATTAAATCAACCATGTGTCTCCAATCAACCCTGGCAGTTTCAACTGAGAACATGGTTTAATCAAAATCCAACTTCCTCCCACTCACACACCAAGTCTCTCCAATAAAAGGACAAAACAAATGGAATACAGTCCAAGCAATGATCTAATAGGTCGGGGAAATATGACAGCTATCCGATTGATCTCAAGCTTCTGCTGTTTAAACTCCTGTGGGTAACAAATTCGACTTAGCTTAAATGAAACAAGAAAAACAATTTGTGAAAGCGGGATTATGAAACTTTTGCAGAGCGAAAACATTTACAGTATAATGGAAAATACAGTAGCACCGTAGTTTAATTACTGAGGGATTCAGATAATCATCCAAACCCGAAGGCAATTATGTTTGTGTTAGCATAGCCGCTTACCTGTCTTCCCAGTATTGCTGTTGGTTAGCACCTGTAGGTCCGTGGCTGCATTAGAGATTTGATTCTGGATGTTCTCACAGGTTCCCCTCAGTCCTCCAATATCTCGGGCATGAGCGCTGACCGTACCATTCAGATGTTTGACACAAGTCCACAACCCAGTGACGTGTTTATTCAGGGCCTCTTTGATCCTCTGGAGGCTAGAGGAGATGGGATCCAGCTTGCTACATAAACCCTCCACACTAACAATGCGGCTGTCAATGCGTGCCATCTCCTGCCCGACATCTTCAGTTTGTCCCTTGCAGTGGTCGGCCCCAGCGTTCACCTCCCTGCGAAGCTCGTCTAGATGGGTTCTCAGCTCTTGATGCTGCTCCAGGAGGTCCTTGGCCTCCTGCTCAGCCCCTGTTTTTACTTGACCCCAGGTGGAGTTGAGGATCAGAGACGCTTGAAACTGCTGGTTGACTACATCTGATAGAGAGTCCTCCAAAATCCCTACACGTCCTTTAAGATAGCTTAACTCGCTGTGGACGTGCTCAATGCTGGTGCTGGAGTTGGGGAGTTGGCCCTCCATGGCTCCACCGATGTGAGCCTTTAGACTTGATTCCACAGCATCTACAGCAGTTCTGCAGCTCTGGAAGTCTTGTTGAATGTTTTCTACAACATTTAAAAGACCCCCAGATGGAGAGTTGGTGCTGGTATTTGCCAACATGGTGGTGAGTCTTTCTTCCATGGAGAAAAGCTTATCCTCCAGAGTGTCCCTCAGGTCTTTGATGGCCTCTGCCTGTTCTTGCTTCAGCTTCACCTCAACGGAAAGACATTGGGACGCTGAAGTTTTCTCAGATGAGTTCAGATGGATGTCCACAAGACCAGTGTCTGCATTTCCTGGACCAATAAGCTGGGTCTTAATGTCCTGGATCTCCTTCCGGAGGTCAGCTTCCTTTGACTCCATGAGCTCGGCCAGGCTGAGATAGTTTGTTTCCGTTCCCTCACACTGCTCCTGAACCGATGTGATTTTATAGTCGCAGGCGTTCTTCATGTCTGCTATTTTGATGTCCATGCCTTCCATTAACTCCTCTCTCAGAGCGCTGATCTTCTCGTCCAGGTAGGCCCGCAGGTCTGCACCACTGGTTGGAGGAGCAGGAGCGGGTGTGGGCAGCTGGTTCTGGGCAGCCTCCATTAACAGATGAATCTGTCCGTCATGGCTGTTGACGCGACCCAGCAGGTTGTCCAGGGCATTGCTCTTGGACTCCAGATCGTCTGTGACCTGGCTGATCTTGTTCATGACCTCGTCCATCTGCGTTGTCTCACTCCCAAAAGAGAAGTCCTGCACCTGAGCGATGTGGCTCTCTGCCCCTCTCGCGCTGGAGGGCTGTCTGAAGTTATTCAGAAGCGTAGCCAGCATTTTACTGGCGTCCTCTTGAAAATCCAGTCTCAGATTGGAAGACATGTCAGTCATTCTTGCCTGCATGTCGAGGACCATCTGGGATAGCCGCTGCACCTCCTCCTCCAGGTGTTGCTCGCTTTGAGATCCTCCACGACCCGACTGTGGCCTTTGACCTGTCTGACCTCCAAACTGCCCCTCCCCTCCCCATGGATGGTTCCCCTGATTCTCTGTCCGCTGATCTGGAGCTTCAACGAACAGACGGAGGGATGGGAAACAGGTATATTAATGCTTTTTTTTACATTTTTCAAGCTGTATACATTTGTTTCACATATATTCATGGTAGATTTCTCACCTTCTGGGACTGGAATATGTCCAGAGGCAAAGGGGGAAGGAGGCATACGCTCTACTTGGAGCCGCTTCAGATCCTTCACCTCCATGCAGTCATGGCCCTGGTAACCCGGGCAGCACCTCCACTCCAGCTCTGTTAAAGTCTTGTATGCAATCTTATACATGGGCCTGAACTGTGTCCGATATCTGAAAGCATTAAAAACATCCAACAATTCACAATTCCTGCTGAACATTGGTCTGTTCTAATAATGAATAGACACAATTCAGTCCATTAGATGGTCCGACTTTGCGCAACTCTTTTCAGGAACACAATGGAAACTTGGAATCACAGCACTGTTTGTTGACAAATTAACAGTAGATAAACACCAGTCACATAAAAACAATAATTAAACAAGCATATGGCAGGAAGCAGCTTAGCCTTTTCACCATTTCCACTGTTAACCACACAGTCCTGCCACTGGGTGATTAACTATTTCACAAGTGTGTTTGTTGCTTAGTAAACACTGAAGCAAAACAAAGTCAGAGGAATGTCTGCCCATCTTTGCCATTCATGAAGATTCAACACAGATGCCTGAATTACCTTTTGGTTTCTTAATCATGTTTTAAAGATTCTTCTAAGGATGAATGTCATTTATATTAGAGAGCCATTTCAATGAAGCAACAATAGAAAACAAGTGCAGTGTAATTGAGCAGAACAATATAAGTAGGCTACATTTACTCATTATTGGTATTTAAGTATCATTTTGAGTTACTTGTAAATTACTTGAAATGTCCATGTTATGCTGTACTTCTACTCCATTACATGTATTTGGTTAAATAGCACATTAAGTTTTGAAATAACTTCATAAAAAAGCAAACTAGAATTACATAAAGTAGCTGAAATAGATCCTGCTGCTGCACTGGTGATGCTTACACATTAATGTCTTGCTCATTCAAATCTAGTAGATATATATTTGTAATCACAGCCATTTGCTTCATAAGTAGGCCTACTTGTTTTCAAGAGTACATTTACGTTTTGTATATATTTGGATACTTGGAATATCTGTAGTAACACTTTTACTTTAAGATCAGATTCATCTCTGAAATGGTTATTTACATCACAGTCATGTTGTCAGTGCTTCACTCCACGCTGTTGATAATAGAAACCACACATTGATAAAATACTAACAGTAGAACATAATATTCCCCTACCCAGTGCAATTCTGGGAACTTACATCACTTGTTGCTCACAGTTTGGCAGCTCCGGAGGACACGGCAAAAGTTCGGGCTGCACGAAACTCTCCGTGCCTCCCACGACGGAACAGCTCACGTTCTTGTGCACAACGTAGGCGCACCAGTTTCTGCAGAAAATGCGCCAGTTAACGGCATTGCTTACTTTCCAATAAGAGTTACTCGATGATACATGACCCAATAAATGAGTAGACGTTTATATTTTAAACACACACACATGAATTACTTACTTATTTCTTTGGCGCGTTCCAGAGCCAGAATATGATCTCCCCTGGAACATGTTATGTTGGAATGGTGTTCCACCGACGAGAGGAAACGTTATTAAAAAGTGAAAAAGTCCACAGATTCCGCGCTTCATTGTTACAATGTTTCCCTTCGGGAGACTCAAAAGTAATATTTGAGATTGTAATCAGCAGTGAAGGTCTGTGTTCCAATGATCAGTGAAGGCACCGCCGGCTGTTCCCTTTCTGCATTGCGCAGTTTACAACCTCCTTCCAGCGTCCTTGGATGTGACGTTTCAGGACCCCCTCCAATACAGACAGAACACTTTTTCCGGTACACACACACACACACACACACACACACACACACACACACACACACACACACACACACACACACACACACACACACACACACACACACACACACACACACACACACACACACACACACACACACACACACACACACACACACACACACACACACACACACACACACACACACACACACACACACACACACACACACACACACACACACACACACACACACACACACACACACACACACCTTTCAGCATCTAAAAACACAATGTTACATATCCTGCACACATGTCTGCACATATCCCTATAACTAAGAACATATTTTAAGTTTCACTGAGGTTATCGAGTAGTAATAATGACACAAGGAAAGTGATATCTTACTTTCTTTTTTTTTAATAGAAAGAATATAAACGTTCTTTGAGCGAAACGTCATGGCTTGACATGCCATCATAAGTCTAAATAAAACAGTGTACAAAAAGAACAAATCTGTACAAAGGGAACATAAAAACAACTTCACAAGAATACAACATTAAGCCAAAGAGGCTTGCTTTCAAAATATCAGGTTGTGGACCTCAGGCGTGGATCTCTGCTCGATCTCTTGGGATTGATGCCGGATGGCTCTCCAGCGCTATCAAGAGCCCGTTTCAATGGTCTGCCTGGGGTCGACACTAGACGTAGAAAACAGACTCGTTACAAATTAACTTGAAAATGAAAAATGAAAATATTTGTATAGATGTATTCCCTGCCCTTACTCCCAGATCAACAAACATACCGAGCTGTCTCTCAATCTCTTCCAGCTGCTTCTTTCTCTCCTCCATTTCTTGCACCTTTCTCAGCATTTCAGGAGACTTCATGTTATTTAAGTGATGGTCACGAGCCTTCGCTGCCTGATCCACCTTCTCCAGAGCTGAGCGTTGTTGAGTGAGCAGGTCTACAGAACAAAACGAGAGAATTTAGGCACAATTGCACTTATAAGAACACCAAAAAGCAACTATGAAATATGATTCTGAGAGATGTCACCTATGTGGTCCTTAAGTAAAAAGTAATGCTGTGGGAAGGGGGCTCCAAACACTTTTAATGTGTCGATTGGTTGGGCTTTGTTATTTCTTCCTCCAAACTTGCCCCTGGAGCTGACCCTGTCCCCCTGCCTGGTCAGGATGGTGGGACATGGCTTCTTTTTCTGCACCACCTGTAAGTAAAGGCACAGTTAAGTGGGGAAAATAAAACACAGGCCGCTGGATGTAGTGGCACGGCTTCACCCTCAGCATCACTCACCGCCTTTCTGTAGTTGTTAGCAGAGTCCAGGTCATCAATCAGAATTGTCTCTCCGAGGATGTTTTTAAAAGCTGCAAAGGAAAGGCAAACAGGAAACCGTCAAAACCGACAAATCTAAAACATTCTTGTTTTACTGATTTACTAGTAAAACTTTCACAATCTGAGACATTAAAGCAGAATACTTTTGAAATTGCTACTGATACATGTATTTGGCAATCAACGTAAATATGTCCCATAAATATTCGAAGCAACTTTTTTTTTTAAATGCAGAAAATTCCTAAATAGTTTTTTTTAATGTGGCACAAGAGGCCCACTTTCTGCTCCAGTGACGGTGAGGTAACACCTCCACTCCTGTGAGGTCCCAGGTGGAACCATTTACCCAGCAGGAGTAATGGGGGCATGAAGGAAATACCCCAACAACAGCAAACACAAAAAGACCTGGGAAGTCTCCGGAAACCCACAGAAAACCTGGGCTGGATCTGCAATAACTAGGCAGAGTCACAGTGAGCATCCATTGGAGGCCGCTAACCCATGTCACGGTCCCGGTCTTCGGTGTACAGCAGCAGGTCTCTGGCGTAGACCGGGTTCCCAGGGGGATCAAAGAGCATGCAGCCACTCCCCATGTGCGGCAACGGTCTGTAAGAAATTCATAACTTAGTAAAGAGACTGAGAGGTTCTAAGAATTGTTATAAAAGGACCAAACAAGTGTTTTTGATTGATTTCCCGAAGAATCCCTGAGGTGCAAACTTTTCCAAAACTCAAAATATTCAGTTTATTATGATACATGATTGGTGTAATGACTCAAACAAAGAGGACTGGAATAGTTGCAGTTGCTGCTTTTTCCCCAAAATAATCAAAAAATGTATTAAATATTTTTGGGTTTGAGATTCCTGGTTAGACCATACGATACATATGGAGTATGGTTTTCTGAAAATAGCTTTTTCAAACTATGCAACACCACTGGTGTGATTCTTTAAGTAGCTGTCTTATTTATAATAATTAGTCACTATTATCATTTAACCAAAATGAAAAAAATCATAATAACTTCTCGTTTCGGACAATCAAAACTGGAGGCAGATGTATTTTCTAATTTTCTTACTTGAATTGCCCCTAGTTTCAGAGTTTTGATATGCTGGATTTCTTTAAATTTAAATGTACAGTATGTTATCTGATGAACGAAAGCAGGAACTCATATGTGTTTACAATCTATTTATAATTGGTCTTTTTCATCCTGTAATTTTTCTTGTTTGGTTACTATGCCGCATGAATGTTCGTCTTGGGAGGGAAGTCCTTCCTGTGGTTCTTCCTGGAGGACATTTTCCTTATCCAATTGTTAAGGCCCTTAAGGCTAATTTGTGGTTTCCTAATATTGAAGTGTATAAATATAATTGCCTAAACTTCACAGAAGCTGTCCTTATTGGCTATTTGTTCAAGAAAGAGGTGCCACAAGATCTTTAAATGACTGTTTTTGTAAGGCTTGGGGGAAGGAGAAAGCTTAACAATGAAAGACTATAATCAAGGACGAACAGTAATCTCACCAGGAAATTCACGCAATAATGAAATGAATCGCATTGAAGTGTGTGGGCACAAATACAGCTTGCAAACCTTTTGGGCTCACAAAACACTATTTAAAAAGGATACTATCATGGACCCAGATTGTTTACCTGTTGCCAGGGTGCACAAAAACACTGTCGAGGGCCATGACCTGCTGCCGGCCCCTGGTGTCGTCATAGATCCTCTTCGCTGCTTCAGTGGTTTTGGTGATGACACAGTCCATGTCCCCCTGGATGTGCCAGGAGATAACCCACGCAGCATGATCGTCCTCCACGAAGGCCAGGTGGCCGACCTGCATGCAGAGAGGTAGAGGCTTGAACACACAGCGCTGACAACAGTTTTCTCTGATACACATATTTAGCAGAAGCATTGATTGGACAAATGTGCATCGAGGTCACTGTTTCCGGAAATTAAACTGGGGTTCAAAAGCTGCTAATCTAACAGAATTCCTTCTTCCCGATGATATTACCATTCCCAAAACATCCTGCTGCCCCTTGTAGTGATCCTGGAGGGAGCAAACTCTTCTGCGTGTTTTCATTATCTTTTCAATTTCAGCACGCTTCTCAGTTATGAGTCTGTCAAAATGTGGAATCTACAACAAAACAAACGGAAGATATGTAAATGTCAGTTCTTGATTATGTGTATAGATGAGATCCTAATTTCAACATGTACAGAAAATACGTGTGTATAGAGTTCAAATGGTACACATACGGTTTGTGCTGTTTCCATGTTCCTCCTGTGAAGATCCTTTCTAATCGAAGTCTCTTTGTGACTTGCAGCGATGTGATGAGCTGTGAGGGAAGAAGCACTTGCAATTATGGACAATTTCAAATATAAATGGGTAGACACAAAAGAAAAGGCGCGGAATGTTTAACTCTATACTCTCTTGGTACCAGTTATAGTGTGTTTGTAATACCAAATGTTAAAAAAGCTGGTGTCAAAGTATATGCTGCTTCTCATAAACATTTCAAATAAACACGTGAGTTGTCCGACTGAAATGTGATTTAAACCCAACTCTAAACACGTGTCTGTGTAGAACAAAACATAGATGGAACAAATACAAAATATGTAATATAGTCTTACAGGTCAGCACACTAAGGAGTTGTCCATAAGTGTTAAATAACTCTTTATCTGCATGAACAGCAGTGGTGAGATCATCTTTCTTCTTGGACAGCTCAGACATTTTCCGTTGGTTGTCTGCATCTAAAACAGAGAGATAAAGGAAGATGATTGTGGTTAAAATCACAGAAAGAATGCAGACTAAAGTTGCACATAACTAAAACATTATTTGTGAAATCTGAGTCATATCTCATGCACCAATATTAGCCCCGGATCATACCATTGTAGAAGTGGAAGGGCAGCTCAAAGGGGGCCAGGGTGGGGGGAACCATCGGCCCTTCAGGTGTGAAGAGGAGGGTGTATGCACTTCCATTCTCCCCGGGGCTGTTCTCCATGAGAGCCAGCCTCTGCGCAGAATAAATTAAACAACAATGTGCATCATGGCGCCGATCCAAAATAAAGGTTGTGGTGTGTACTATGGCAAATGGTTACTCACGTCGATATGTGCCTTTCCTTCTTCCAAGCTAATTTCCAAAAATGTGGTTTTGCCTTCAAACAGAGGGATGGTTTTGTTGCCGTCTCCGCTGCAGTTCTTTATAGAAATGACCACATTCCCGTTAAGGTCTTCCCCCGTTGGGTTTCCAGAAGAATCCTGGAATCAGACAAAGAAACCATCTGATAAACAGTCACTTATTTTAATGTATCTAAAGGGAAAAGTGTTTGTTCTTTCGCAATAAAGTAGACATCCTTCTGAGGAGGAAATCTCACCATTATCCTCAGAGTCATATTCTCCACCAAGGTTCGGTGGGCTAACACCTTACTGTAGGAAACAACTGGGGTGGGTGGCTGAGAGGCGGGTCCCAGTTTGACAGGTTGATTGGCCACCACATTTATAGTGATCTACAGAGAGGAAACAGTGCCGAGTCATTATTTTCAATGAGTCAGGATTATGATCTACTCACCTGAACAAACACCTTCCTGTTAAACAGACATGAGAGATAACATTATGTCTTGTATTTCAGATTAATGCTGGGTGTGTGAAAAGTGCTGTGATGTAACCAGATTCTAGGCTCCACCAACCTGTTCACTGAAAAGGAATGTAGCTCCTTCCAGTCGTAGAGAAAACTGGACCGTGTGTTTTCCAACTTGTTCTGGGATCTCTTTATCTCTGTAGTGAAAGAAATACAAAGGTTAACTTTCTTGGACGGATCCTGGCTAGCTGTTTGTGCTAAGTTAACTGGATGCTTTTAAAATCGTATAAAAACAAGAGCGCTATCTCAGTCATCATCTAACTTTTCCTTTTAAAATATTGCAACAACTCAGAGAAATACATAAGCAGATGAAAGCATTTTACCTAAAGTAAAAACGGTCGCTCTTCTGGTTCTCCATGGGTTTACTGCATTTCAGCTCAGTGGCCTGGACAAAAGAAGAATATAACACAACAATTAAGGATGTACTTTAAGCAAATGAAAGTCAGAGACATTCCCCATGATTAGTCAGCCACTTACCGTCTTTGGTGGAATTCTTCCTGATTGCACTCCCTTCCACAGCAGCATGGACGCAGCAGCAGGATTGGTGGTAATGGGGCTTCCTTCATCAGACACCACCGTCACAGAGAAGACTAAAAAGACACACAGCTGCTTAGTTTGCTCAGAGATGCTAAACAAGATGGAGAGAAAATAGAGAAACAATAGGGATGCAGACCTGGGAAGACGCCTCCTGCAGGAAACGTTGCATTGTTGTCGTACACCACGGACAGGCTCACAGGTTTGTTGGGATCAGGAGTGATGGTGATATTCACTGAGGGACCGGGGATGGGTTTGCGGTCGAGGGACCCTTTAAAATCCAGCTGATAGTACCCCCTAGTGGACCAACAGAGTAACAACACTTAAACTAGAAACTTGTGGAATACGTCATGTTTACACTACTGGAAATGTGGACGACCTTTGATTTGGGATTTTTATTTGCATTATGATAATTAAAAAAACAATGGCGCTCACTTTGGTCCGCTCAAACTGGTAACAGTGAAAGAGGCTTTCCCTTCCATGTTCACAGGTTGTGAAACAACAGATGACTTCACCTAAAGAAACAAGATCTCATTAAATGTCTGTACAAATCAGAAGTAAGTTCCTGGTCATTGCTGGAAAGTTGAAATGGAACAAAGCAAATATTACGTGTTGGTATTTGCTTGTAAAGCTAACCTTCAGTGCCTGTGGTGACGACTTCAATTGAACCACCACCCTCTGGTCCGAGCAGGGGTTCCCCCACTCGTCACACAGCTGGACAACAAACGGTGTGTCGATGCCTTGGTCATTCAACACCTGCAGAGGCTGATAGGTATAGAAGAGGAGCTCAGACAGATAGTTGGTGCTGTAAATATAACACTGTGAGGTAACAGGGTCAAAGGGGTTCTCTTTTAAATGTTATTATAGAGTGGTGCAGGAATGAGTCATTAACCAGCTAGCATGTTTAGCACTTCGGGGCTCCCTTGTCTCAAAGTCAAAAATGTTTTGATTGTGTTTTTGTTTAGATTCCCAAATTAGGTCTTAAATTTAAGCTCAGGAGAGTTTTACGTTTATTTCTAATACATCAAAAACACTTGCTTAGCGGTAGCGACGCAAAATCATGCAACTGTGATTTAGTTCGTTTGTAGCATTTTCTTTTGGCAAATGTATTTACGATTCAACTTTTATATTATTTAATATGTGGAGACTATCCTACTAAATTAAAAAAAGGAATTTAGTAGCATAAACCTGTCCGCCACAGATCTTATTTTCTACAATACTACGAAATGTTTTTTCTTCTCAGAACAAAAACGCGTCATGACTGCACCAATCTATTGAGCTGTAACCAGGGAAGTGGTGATAAGGATCTGAATCCCTCTCTCCAGTAACTTCCTGTCTTACCTGCACTGGCCCACTGACTAGTTTAAGCTGTGCAGGGACTCCAGCGGTCACTTTTACTATGACGCGCTCCTCATATTTCTCGTAGGTGAAGCAGATCTCTCTGGGGCCAACAGTCCCCGACCTGAACTGCACCCCCATCACCAGAACAGAACTGCTGCTCTCCTGATTTCAACACACATGAGAGAGTGAGGGTTAATTCATCAGTTATTATCAGTATATCTACACAGTTATGGAAGTATCCAGATAATTTACTTGAGCAAAAGTATTGGAAACACAATCTAGAAATAAAGAGTAATACATTTTTTGGATTATATGAACTGTAACTTAGAAAAAAATACAATAAAGTTGGATCAAAAGTAAATGTACCCATTAGGTCGAATGGCCTTCGTCACAATAGCATTGTTACAGAGTATTTATTTATTCAAGGAGTTTAATTAAGATTAATTTAAATTGACAGAAAATGTATCAATATCTAACTAAATTAATTCATTAATATCACTACTGTAATAAAGAATGAATCGCTTTAAATGATTTTCAAGGCAAATAGGCAACAATGGTGTCTTGCTGCGAGAAGTTACTGCTTTTCTTTGTTTTACATCTTGTATAGATCATTAAATCTAAATCAAAGAAAAGTAGCCAAAGGATAAATGTAGTGGGATACAATGCACACTATTGCCCGGTGGTAGTAATAAATCAGCATAACAAGAAACCAGAAAAGTTGCATTCCAGTTATTTATAGCTGCCCAACAACTCATTAAATCAGCAACACAATTATCTAATTAGTTGCTGTATCTCTTACAAGAAAAGAACATGCTTTTGAATGAGTGCATGCCATAGAGTGTATATAAGAAGGGAATACTCATCAGGTGGCATTTAACAACACAGCCCTTGCACCGCCCATAAATTAACAAGGCATGGAGATATCATGGCAATAAATCAAAGATAGGCAGTATTGTAGTATAATAGGACACCTCAATGCGTCAGGAACGCTGCTGGTGCCACACAGAGACTGAAAATGCACTTTAGGAGGTGCTCCTTATCAGTGCCATTCAAGTTGATAACCTTGCTTGCTCATGCATACAGTATAGCCTCTGCTTGGCTTTGTTATGGTGTCATGGATGGAGAAATAGGGCTTCCCCCCATGGAGAGATAGGGCTTCCCCCCATGGCGAGTCACAGGATGTAGGAGGAAGAGCTTAGCCTGATAAATGTTGGGGAAAGCTAAGATAGTGAAGACAGCATGGGTGAAAGACAATGTTTCAATTCAGGGCTTCATTTCTGTTGCCCAAGTCCTCCGTAAGGTTGAGAGTCTTTTTTTCCTACCTGCCATTTGAAGGTGATGGCCGATTCGTCCAGACCCTCAGCTTTCACTGCCATGTGGTTCTTAGAGTCGGAGGAAAGCGTCTTTGTTACATTATCATACTGGTCCACAAGCTCCAAGCCTGTAAAAGAAAAGAAAAAAAGATGTGTATCATGAAGCTGTCAAACATATCCTAATAAATCAGATGTATTGTTGATAATGTTCACACTCACTGATGTTTCCTGGTATGACTTCCCCGAGCTTCACTGTGCTTTTCAGTAGAGTTGCTTTCAGCCGGTTTGGTTCATCAGGCTGTGGTCTACAAACAAAACAAGCAGGGATGTGGATTTGAAACATACCAGTCTAGATATCAAAATAAATGTTAGACAATTAGGGCAAATATGCTTAATGCAGGAGAGTTAGATGAAAAAATCTTCTTCTTAAATATAAAGCTGTGCAGGAAATATGTGACAATTAATTAACTTAACAGGGGGATTGTTTGCCCTCCCGACAGAGCTCAGCTAGCTTAATCATTTCCTCACTAGTCTTTAAGCTAAGCTAATAAACGGCATGCATACTTATTACACAGACATGAAGGTATCAGTCTTCTCAGCTAACTCCTGACAAGAAAGCAATCAAGCATATTTCTAAAAACAAACTATGCTTCTCAGTTTGCATCACATAATCACAGTGTAGAGAGAAGATGTGCTTTACTTGATGTGGAAGGAGACTGACACATTCTGGTCTTGGTAGGACACCTGGAAGAAGCGCTCCTCCTGCACCTGATGGGGCACCTTTAGGTCCGGCAGCTTCCCCTGGACCAAATCTCTCAGATTTACATCGCCTGTCCAGTTAACCTTAAACACAATCATAATGAACAAAGAAAAAGTCAGTAACAAGCTAGGAAATGTTCAGAAAAACAACGAGTGAGCATGGTTTCTTTTTATTTATTTATCCCCACACCATTTACAAAACCAACAGGAGAGGAACACACATATATGCGAGACACACCTTTATCTTGGAGGCTATTTCAGCCGTGAGGGGAATGTCTCTACCAGCCTCATCGTACAGTTTGTAGAAGAGGTTTTCCATCAGGCCTCCAGCCAGCCAGAGTATCTTTTCGTTGTCCGTGAGTACCAAGTTCTCATCGTCCTTGCTGCAGATCTCCATGCGGCTGACTCTTTTGCTCGGCACCACCTCCAGCTCCCTCATCACCGGCTTGATTTTCTTCTGACTCTTGTTGGAAAACCGAGAAGGGATTGAGACATCGTGATAAAGATTACATTATGGATTTTTCTACAAAGCAGAAATCTTTGTTGTGGAGTTTTTAAACTTACAGGCATCTCAAATTGAACATGGAGCTTTTCTGGTTGTCCCTTAATTATTTTCAAGTTTACGGGCTTTATCATGAGCTGTCCGGCTCCTGAGTTGCTGCAGTCAGTAGCCACTCCCGGAAACCCCTGAACCTAAGGGCCAGATAAAACTGTTTATTTATGTTCAGATTATATTAGGGGAAGTAAATAGAGCAGGCCCACAAATAAGAAAACATGACCGTTTTTATAGAGATTAATTCCTGGCATTCACACCCCCATACCTCGCATCGAACGATCTGTTTGGAGTTAGCTGTGATGTTTCCTGCCTCATCGTGGATCTCAACATTAAACAAGATAGGTTTTCCATTATCTACTTTGATTGGTTTGTCTTCTGGTGTCACGTGGATGGAGTGTGCAGTACCTGAAAAAAAGCCCAGTTTTTTTTTATTTTATCAACTATGACGAGGAATATTTAATTGACAGGGAGAAAAAGATGAGGAGGACTGCTGACAACATGGTGGTTTGATTATTATCTAAATGTTCGTAGCAAACCAGTTAAACCGCACCTGATTTACGTCTGAAATCTCTACCAACCCCCCAGGTAATATTCAGAAGGCAATAAGTTGATTGTTTGAAATGTAATGACACCAGCAACGAAAAAGCTACGAATAGAAAATGATTATCGATCATAATTTCTCGCAGCACAAACCGTCTTACCAGGAAGAAGACTGAACTTGATAGTCTCTGTGTTTTGCGTCAAGCCCGGCAGGGTCACTCTCAGATCATATGTCTGCGGCATAAACAGGATGGAAATGAAATAACAGAGGTTAAGAAGCAGTGGGATCTTTTCTTGGGTATCAAGCAGTAGCACTTTGTGTCAAATATTGTAGTTTTGTCTACAGGGCTGAAAATTGATATATTTTACAAGTTTGCTTTTCCCTTGAAACAACCTTTAGTTCTAGCAAACCAATTTCAGAGCAGAGTTAAGAGCATCTTGTTTTTCTAACCTTTGGTTGTAGGTAGTTCAAGACTTTTCCACTTGCTTTGACACGTCTGATGTATAACGTCGTCCCACTGCTTTCCGTTTTGTCGAAATTGAGTGAAGTCAGGCTACTAAGTAATAATAATAAGGAAAATGTTGTTAAAGGGGCCAGCACATCCAACATCTTGCAAATTAAAGACATGATCACATTTAAGATAAACCTATGATACTGAAATATATACAAATCAGTTAAATAAGTAAAGCCATGTCTAAGCAGCGTTTCATTTAATTAGAATAAAAGGGGGTCTTCTAAGGAAGCTGTCCACGGCAAAAAACAAAAGGAAACAAATCAAAATTAGGGTGAAGGGACCCACCTGCATTTGAGTATAGGTTTGAGATCTGGAGGAGGCACTGTGGGGTGGTCGTAACCGTCCTTTATCTGCAGAGGAATGTCGAAGGGCATTCCCACGCGAAGACTGGAGCTCATTGTACCAATAACAAAACTCTCAGCCTTTCCCTCTGAGAAGGGTGGAAACAATGGACATGCGTGATTATGGCATTCAGAATGGTTAATGATTATGAGAAGCTAAAGTTTCCTTGTGTTTCAAACCTTTGATGGTGAAGTTGAGTTTGTAGCTCGGGAGCTCTGTGCCCCCAAAGCTGTCGGCCTTGTTCTCGTTGATAAGAGTCCTCAGTATCAGAGTATACTCCCCCAGGCCGGTCAGCATCTCTGCCAAGGGTGAAATGTTTGCAACTTGATACATGATCTTTCCGGAGACAAATACTTCTGGACATTCAAAATTCAAACCAATATTTATGAAACTGACAAATAAAATGGAACGTACCAATCTTTTTGAACCAGAAAAACTTTGCTGAAGTAGGGGTAGCATGACTTAAGACTTCTTTTTTTTGACCTGCAAATGAAAACATAAAGAGTTTAGTTTAAGCTGTGCACCAAAAATCGAAAAAACAACTAGAACAAAGTACAGCTGGCTAGTATTGCATTTTCAAATAGCTGCTTTTTTCGGGCGGTAGATGGAATACTATTGGTTAGCAGACTTTTAATTTCAATTTATCAAATTTCAATGTACCAACTTTAGCTTTGAGAAAATTATTTAAAAAAGCAATTTTTCATCATTTAAAAAAGATAATATAATCATAGTATAATCAAGTATGTACAAATGACAGGATAATCCATAATTTAATCATAATTACTATTTGTAGCAGCTCTGTAAGGAATCAGGTAAACATAAAAAAAAAACTCCTGTAGTTATGATGATTCCACATCAAGCGTGTATCTCTTTGAATGAAAGTTTTATAATATAGTTTTTAGATATCATAAAACAACAGATTCCTTCCGGTTACACCCATAATGATCTACTCTTTAATAGTTTGATCACTGTTTGGTTTTCAAATGCTATTTTCTTTTTCTCTTACTTCATTACTGCTTACCAGGCTTATTACCATGCTGAAAGACTTTGAGATCAATAATGAGTCTTTTCCCGGCTCCCTGGCCAACTGCTGGCATCTGGGATATAGACTCTCCTTTCTTGTTCATTATGTTGATGCTGAGTGGCCCTGAAATTATGCAAACAACGTTTAGAAAAAAGGACAATTGTATTATTTGACCTGGTGTTGTACACAGAAAATGCAACAGTTTACCTAATGGAGTCCCAGCTGGACGAGCGCCACCCTCTAGCCAGGGGTCTCCTTCAGGCCAGCTCACGTTCAGACACTCTGGAAGCCTGGCACAAACAAATACCATTAGCTAATAAAATGTCCTCAAGGGTTAAGTACCACAACTAGTCAGGAGAAGGAGATACGGTGTAGGGAAATTAAGCATCGTAAAACAAATGACTTCCAAAAAATGTTAGAAAGTGGGATATTGGAGAGGATTGAGCTCTGTAAAGGGTGTAAATATTGACTATGCTAGCAGTATAAGAGCATTTCCCCTATCTGCTTACTCACTTGGCTAGGTCATTGTCAATGTTTCTCTGGATGGCTTCGGAAGTGGCGTTCTTGTCAATCTTGGAAATGGGTATGGTCTTGATCTTGTCGTGAAATGCTTTGGGTTCCTAGGAAACAGATTTGTTGGTTGATATCAGCCTCAGTTTTGTCCTTTATTGAATCCTTAAAGTACTAAGACTGAGATAAAGATTAGTAATAATTGTCTTCTTACCATACAAATTTCCACCTCTCCCCCTGTGGCAAAGACATCTTCTTCATGTTGTCCATACAGCAAGAAACGCACCACGCTGCCATAGAGAATGGGCTGCGTTTTCTGAGACTTCACCTGTATGAAGAAGTATGTGGGCATCAATACAGAATGGAGAATAACCCGAAAGTACACATGTAAAAGCAAAAGCTTACAAGTTGGCCTTTTGAGTATATTTTGCCGTCCCATTCGATGGAGGTGAATGTCGCCCAGGGATACTGCATTCTCTTAACAGGCAATTCACTTCGTGTGATGGTCTTCTTGAAGTTAAGGAACTTCACTTGCTTGTCCCACTTCTCGTGACAGTTCTTTAGCCACTGCATGAAGTCCTTCTGAATGTTACCTCTTTGTTTCTGTGGACATGGAAATAAAGCAATACCCGGTTGTTGTACTTTCGGGTTATTCTCCATTCTGTATTGACAAGTAACCTGATCAATGTTAACCCTCTATGGCATGACTTTTTATTTTGGGAGGAAAATAATGTTTCACCATGTGTTTTAGGAGCTTAGGGGTCCCTGATATTATATCAATTATAAAATGTGACCCCCTCACCCCTCAACCAGGGGTTGGTTTGTTGCCTCAGGGCAACAATGTGCTACGAGGGTATTGAAGCACCAAGGATTTATACAATTCAGAAGAAATAGAAAAAACAACTATGAATTCAAAAGGTTTTCTTTGTGTGTGTGGGTCTGTCTGCGTGTGTTTGTGTGTCTGCGTGTATGTGTTTGTATGTCTCTGTGTTTGTGTGTGTATTTGTTTGTATGTGTGTGTCTCTGTGTGTGTGTGTGTGTGTGTGTGTGTGTGTGTGTGTGTGTGTGTGTGTGTGTGTGTGTGTGTATTAGGGCTGTACCCGAATATTCGACTATTCGAATATTCGTTCGTTGGCCAACTATTCGGGTTTCAATTTCATTATTCGGATATTCGTTTTTTTATTTTTCCCCCAAAAAATAAAAAAATGTCCCTAAATGTATGCTATCAATAAAGGCGAATTGCCATATTCTTATACTATATTTATACTTTTGAATTGCACTGTTAAAATGCGGAAATATATACAATCTCAGCCTGTGCTCCTGACATCGCGTTCACTCAGTCACGAACGCAAACGGCACGCTTCACCTCGCTTCACCTCGTTTCACACACCTGAACACAAAATGCCGAAGACTTCAGCTGCGTGGGACCATTTTAAAAATTGGACGACGGTAAGAAGAAGGCAGTGTGCCAAATATGCGACAAGAAACTGGCCTACCACGGTGGCACAACAACTCTGAAAAGTCACCGGATGCTGTAAGTACTAGCCTAGCTTAGCTTAGCTGTTGTCAAATTGCCGTGATGAAGCTGCTTTATCCACCGTTTAAACAGTAACGTTACACATGATAACATCGTGCATTTACATTGCTTGGAAAATAGTTGCAAGCAACCGAATTGTTTTTTTATATTAGTTTTTCAATTGTATCCGAATAGTGAAAATAATAGGAGCAATGTGGGAACATCTGGAGCTAAGGCAATTATTGGCATACAGTTCGTTCATTTATTTTTCGTTCTTCATTTATTTAAATACTGTTTACTGTATCGGTAACAAGTATTACACTGTTAGGCCTACTGTTACGGCTATGTTATTAAAAGTATTGTTGTTATAACAGAAATATGTGTTTTGTATCTTCAGGTTGTAAAACGTTATAGACGGAATTTGGAACCAGATTTGGTCCCCGGGCGCTGCGCTGCGGCTGGGTTACATGCAGAGGACACATTTCGTTGTAATGTATGCGAGTACTGAGACAATAAATAAATATAAATCGTAATAGTATGCTCTTTCTGCGCTTCTGCTTAACAGCGTGTTGTCAGGTGTCTCGGAGCGTATTATGAAAAAAATTTGGGAAAAAAATCTCTCCGCACCGAATATTCGCTGCTGATTACTACCGAATATCCGGAGCCCGACAAATGGTATTCGGGACAGCCCTAGTGTGTATGTGTTTGTTAGTGCTGGGGGGAAACGATTATTTTGAAAACGATTAATCGGGCGATTATTTGATCGATTAGTCGACTAATCGAACGATTATTTTTCTGTTGTTCAATTCATAAAAAACGTAATGTAAAAAAAAGTAATGTAAAACATTTTGTTTCCACGATACTGTGTCTCAGGGGATCTTAATATTTAAGAACCTATTAATGTGTTATACCAGATTAACGGAAATAATCTCAGCTAATTGACGATACAAACCATGTTTACCAAAACAAAACACAAGTCTCATAAGAAGCAAACTAAAATGCTATCTAAATGACCCCTGAGCGAAAAATGCTAACGGACATTGGCACAGAACTCAAGATAACCCTTATTACTTATCGTAGCTGCACATACAAGATATCCGATTAAAGCTGAGACTCCACAGATTATGTAGGTACATAGTATCATCACTGAGTGATCCGGACTCGCGACAGGGGAAGCAAATACAGTCATCACAACACGTACCTTCACAGAGCTTCTAGGGAGATCGTCTCACCGCCGTAGCTGTCAATCTGATCAAAATACGTGTTCAATGGCATTAAAATGAGAAAAAACGCGGCTAAATCGGTTAATCCATAGGTTTTTAACGTCTATGTATAAAAAAATTATTGAATTTATAATCCATAATTCCATTTTTATGTAAACATCGGAGAGCAAATGCTAGCTGCTAATGGTTGCCACCACAGCTAGCTGCTGCTTCCGGTCAAGCAGCAGTCTCAGTGATATATAAATATCTTTGCGTTTTGGACTAACTTTAAAATATTTCCATGCTTTTGAAGACCTAGGGCGAGATGTTTTCGTTTGAGGGCTTCGTGCGCAATCCTGTGAGGTTTCAGTCTCCATTGTGTTAGAAGTGCGATTGCGAACTGCTTGTTGCTTTGGGTGACCCACGTGTGTGTGGCGACCATATATACAGTCTATGGTGTCGACGCGGAAATATGTCGTCGACGATATTTTGAAGTCGACGCGTCGACAGTGTTTGTATGTGTGTATATCTCTGTGTGTGTGTGCGTGTATGTGTGTATTTGTATGTCTCTGTCTGTGTGTGTGTGTGTGTGTGTGTGTGTGTGTGTGTGTGTATGTGGTTGTATGTGTGTGTGTATATCTGTGTGTATGTGCGTGTCTGTGTGTATGTGTGTGTATGTATGTGTGCGTGTATGTGCGTGTGTGTGTCTATGTGTGTGTGTCTGTGTGCCTAACCCTATCTTGACCTTCACTGTCCTCATTGTCAGACGGAATAGCCCTAACAGCCTGATCGTGTCCCTTCTGCCCATAACATGCGTTGGTGTCCATTTCCTGTATATATCATATATATATATGAGGCAACGAACAAAAAAACATAGTTTTAGCTAATTAATAAATACATAATAAGTCTTTAAACAATCAAATATACTTCTTTACGTATTCATGCACATGCATGTATTTTTTATTTTAAGTTGTGTACATTTCTAATATGTTAAAAAGTGAAATGTATCTTACCAAGTGGTGGCCCTGAGTCCCCTGCAGCTTTGCTTGCAGAAAGGACTGCTTCACACCCAGACAAAATGCCACACCCATATAATTCCCTCATTTTATTGGTCACTAGCATGTCAGGTGACATTGTGTATATTTAAAAATATAACAAATATTTAAAGGGCCAGTGTGAAGTCGAAAAAAGTGGTTTGTTGCCTCAGGGAAACAGTATGCCATACAGCAGGGGTGCCCAACCAGTCGATCGCGATCGACCGATCGATCGCGGAGAGATTCCCTGTCGATCGCGAGATGTGTCTAAAAATAGAACAACAATATTCTGTTTTATCGTTAATGTCCTATAACATAATCTTCCTGTGCCAGAATAATGCACTTGAACGCATCAAAGCTTTGTGATTGGCCGGCGTGACCCCTGTGTCGGGGCGTCGCTGGCAGTGTTGCCAACTTGGCGATTTTCTCGTTAAATTTGGCGGCTTTCCAAACCCTCCGGCTACTTATTTGTGTCAAAAGCGACTAACGACTAATCTAACGATTTATAATGGTGTTATTAGGGACTTTTCTGGTGTTTGGAGACTTACGTATTGTTCTGCAGTTAACGAGCCGCGGGTGCTGCCGTGAGCCCCGCCTCCCTGCCATAGTACTCACAGGCGCGCCGCTCAGACTGACGGCCCGTCCACACAGCGGCGTGCGTTGAAGCTTCTAACGCTTCTGCCCATTCACTTTGAATGGGGTGACGTCACTTTTAGCCGAACTGCATTTTGGGAAGCGACGTGGAGCGTTGCTGGCGTAGCTGGCGTCAAAAGTTGAGCAATGTTCAACTTTTGACGCCTCGACGGAGGCGTCAGCCAATGAAATCCCGTTTATTCAAATCTGCCAGTACAATCGCTAGCCAATCAAACCGCGTGTATGCTGGGAGAGACTACGCAGGTCATTTCCTCATATTCAAAAAAATTGAGGGAAAATTCATTGTAGCGGTAGTGAATCACCCGGTGCTGTATGATCAGTCTCTGTTCATCTACCGGGATACAAACCGGAGGAGCGAGGCATGGAGGGAGGTGGCAGAGACAGTGGGTGAAACTGGTAGGTTTTCGCCTGTTTGGGGATTTTATATCCAGTTTACTTCGTTTTAACATTGCTATTGCTTTGTATGTCGGGGGCGGGAGATTCATGTGATTGGTTGTTGGTCGTGTTGCTCGCAAAAAATCCCCAAGCTTCAGATACGCCCACCTCCAAGCGTCAACGCACGCTGCTGTGTGGACGCTCTGTGACAGTTGCCTGGCCGCAGCAGAGCTGCTGCTGCAGTCAGAGCAGAGAGGAGACAACCACACTCCCCCGCGTCGAGACTGCAAATGAATTGCGCATGCGCCAACTGCCAAGCCGTCCTGGTTTTGAGCAGGATTTAAATGTAAAATGTAAATGTTTCTTCACTCACTTTCACACTATAATAAATAACTGCCTTTGCTTTGACTCACACAGCCTCAGTCACTCAATCACCTCGTCCACTGTGTGTGTGCCTCTCTGTGACAAGCATCATGGCACAGTCTACATTGTATTCTCAAAAATACAGAAAGGAGGGGGAATCAAACCCTGAGTATAAAGGATGGTTGAAGCCATTTATTGGAGATGACACACGGGCATACTGCCTTTATTGTAAGGGGGATTTCTATGCCAAACTGTCTGACACCATGCATGTTAAAACCCCAAAACATACTCAAAAAGGCAAAGACATTTCTGATCTACTGCCGTCTGTATTTAACTCCGGTGGTTTCAAGTTTTGATCCTTGAAGGGTTGGGAACGTTTTTTGTACTCCCCTCTACCATGCTCTCTCCTACAGCCGCAATTACATGATATGCAAATTAGGCGATGCCGTCATTTGGCGACTTTTCGGACAGCTAATAGCTACTTTCCTTACCATGGAGTTGGCAACACTGGTCGCTGGTAGGCAGTGGGCAGTGCACTAGTTCGCTAACGTTGTCCGTGTCAACAGGAGTGACAGTCCGCACACACACATGACCGCAATTATGGCAGAAGCAAAACATATATAATTTTCACTCCGAGTGGGAGGATGATTATTTGTGTATCTATTCAAATTCAAAGTCCATCTGTCTCATCTGCAATGCGAGCGTGGCTTTATCGAAGAAGGGTAATTTAGGAGCGGCATTTCAAAACAGTGCACAAACGCTACGAGACGGAATTCCTTCCTAATTCTGCCCTACGCTCCCAAAAGGTGAGGGACATGAAAGGACAGCTAAATGCACAGCAGTCCATTTTCACCAGGCTCAACAACAAGAGCAAGGCTGCTACCATTGCATCTTATCGTGTCAGTCACGTTCTTGCGAAACACATGAAGTCTTTCAAAGATGGCGAAGTTGTGTAAGAAGCATACCTGGAGGCTGCCGATGCGCTTTTGGGGGACAGTAAAAATAACAGTAGCATTTCAACAGGTTTTTGATATAATAAAAACTCAAGTTAGATACCGTTATTAATCAGCTGTAAGTTTTAGTTTGTTTGAACTTATTCATTATAATTATTGTACAAAATGGTATAAGAATGCAAACTTAAAAATTGATTATAGTCTATTATCAATTCAGGTTAAGAAACTAGTGTTGCTTGCATCCTATTTTAAAAGGCATTTATTTTTATACTTTACTAAAATGCAACAAAAAAAGGGTTTGATTATATTAATGTTGTCTTTTGTATTGCACTTTGACAGCAGATTCCTGTGTAGCTTCAGATCTGAGTTGTCTTATTAGTAAGCCTCATTTATACTTTTGTAACAACACTATTTTTATATAATGGCAAAGAAAGGGTTCAGAGTCTTTTCTTTTGTTCCTGAGTCATATGTGGCAGCACTGTTCAATGTTTCTTGAAAACATTACCCACTGTAGTGTGACGTGTGAATAAACTCCAACTCTGTATCAACAACACTGTTGTGTAACTTCAGTTAAATACTTGTATGTGTGTAGATTAGAAAGAGGTAAGATAAAGGATCTGCAGTATTTTATGGAGTATTAATCGCACAAAGGTCAGTTTTATACAAGTAGAAGTGTGTATTTACCTGGTAGTAGGCTGTCAGTAATGGCTACGCCTCTCTATTTGGACTGGTAGATCTCGGCAGACTGGCAACTTTAAAAGTAGCTCTCGGTTCAAAAAAGGTTGGGCACCCCTGCCATAGAGGGTTAATATGATATCTTTTGCACTAATAATATAATATAATATATATCCACATATATATCCACATCTTAAACTGGTGCTAAAAAAGTACAAATGTTGAATGTAGGGCTGCAAAGTTTTGTAACAAAAAAATAAAGTTTCGAATGACTACCTGTCCCTTAACAATGCGTGTGAAGAAAGTGTCCCTGTGCTTCAGTTTCAGCTCCAGTTCCATGAAGGTGAGCTTGTTGGTGCTGACTGGGAATCTGTCGTCAGTGAAGAGCACCCCTGAAATCCGACTGTAACACTCTGCAAGCTCCTTTACTCCTTTACTCTGAGCACACCAGTCAAACCTGTAAAACACATGGATAGCACCAATGTAAGCAGACCAGCAGTGTCAAATAAATAAGTCTTCAGATTGTTTCAGATTTATAACTGACAGTCAATTAAAGAGCTTCATTGTGTGAAAGACTTTAGAGTTTGATATGACTGTTAGAAAAATATCGTCACCGGCTTGAGCTTCAATATCAGGATACGTGTATTTATTATGCTTGAAAGAATGGAAGAAGTCATCACATACAGAGCATATGGTACAACTAGTTTCCAGAACAGTGTCCCGTTGTGTCAAATGATCATATAATAATTTAAAACATATTGTCTTATACTCTGATTGCCTTTTACACTGTTAACATTGTATTTTTAGTCTTGTATGTGTTTAACAGAGACATACACTGAACAAAAATATAAATGCAACACTTTTGTTTTTGCTCCCATTTTTCATGAGATGAACTCAAAGATCTAAAACATTTTCTATATACACGAAATAACCATTTCTCTCAAATATTGTTCACAAATCTGAAAAAATCTGTGATAGTGAGCACTTCTCCTTTGCCGAGATAATCCATCCCACCTCACAGGTGTGGCATATCAAGATGCTGATTAGACAGCATGATTATTGCACAGGTGTGCCTTAGGCTGGCCACAATAAAAGGCCACTCTGAAACGTGCAGTTTTGCTTTATTGGGGGGGTCTGGGGGGGTCCGAAGACCAGTCAGTATCTGGTGTGACCACCATTTGCCTCACGCAGTGCAACACATCTCCTTCGCATAGAGTTGATCAGGTTGTTGATTGTGGCCTGTGGAATGTTGGTCCACTCCTCTTCAATGGCTGTGCGAAGTTGCTGGATATTGGCAGGAACTGGAACACGCTGTCGTATACGCCGATCCAGAGCATCCCAAACATGCTCAATGGGTGACATGTCCGGTGAGTATGCTGGCCATGCAAGAACTGGGATGTTTTCAGCCTCCAGGGATTGTGTACAGATCCTTGCAACATGGGGCCGTGCATTATCATGCTGCAACATGAGGTGATGGTCGTGGATGAATGGCACAACAATGGGCCTCAGGATCTCGTCACGGTATCTCTGTGCATTCACAATGCCATCAATAAAATGCACCTGTGTTCGTCGTCCATAACATACGCCTGCCCATACCATAACCCCACCACCACCATGGGCCACTCGATTCACAACATTGACATCAGAAAACCGCTCACCCACACGATGCCACACACTGTCTGCCATCTGCCCTGAACAGTGAAAACCGGGATTCATCCGTGAAGAGAACACCTCTCCAACGTGCCAGACGCCATCGAATGTGAGCATTTGCCCACTCAAGTCGGTTACGACGATGAACCGGAGTCAGGTCGAGACCCCGATGAGGACGACGAGCATGCAGATGAGCTTCCCTGAGACGGTTTCTGACAGTTTGTGCAGAAATTATTTGGTTATGCAAACCGATTGTTGCAGCAGCTGTCCGAGTGGCTGGTCTCAGACGATCTTGGAGGTGAACATGCTGGATGTGGAGGTCCTGGGCTGGTGTGGTTACACGTGGTCTGCGGTTGTGAGGCCGGTTGGATGTACTGCCAAATTCTCTGAAACGCCTTTGGAGACGGCTTATGGTAGAGAAATGAACATTCAATTCACGGGCAACAGCTCTGGTGGACATTCCTGCTGTCAGCATGCCAATTGCACGCTCCCTCAAAACTTGCGACATCTGTGGCATTGTGCTGTGTGATAAAACTGAACATTTTAGAGTGGCCTTTTATTGTGGCCAGCCTAAGGCACACCTGTGCAATAATCATGCTGTCTAATCAGCATCTTGATATGCCACACCTGTGAGGTGGGATGGATTATCTCGGCAAAGGAGAAGTGCTCACTATCACAGATTTGTTCAGATTTGTGAACAATATTTGAGAGAAATGGTTATTTTGTGTATATAGAAAATGTTTTAGATCTTTGAGTTCATCTCATGAAAAATGGGAGCAAAAACAAAAGTGTTGCATTTATATTTTTGTTCAGTGTATGTTAAGGATTTACATTGCAGGAGGGCCAAAGGAAGTGTAAAAGGGGGATATGAAAATGGTACAAGGACAAGGGGATTTTATGGTTTTATGGTGGGGATGTTTAGATGATAGCTAAGGGGATTTAAGTGCTTTTGCAGGTGCTCAAAGCGCTCTAATAAAAAATAGGATGCATTATTATAAGATGTCATCTGAGGGGCTTCTTACTCTGTTTTCCTTCGACTTCAAAAACACCTCTAAGTGATCGCCATGCTGAAAGTTTCCTGCTCTTAGAGAATTTATGGATGCATGTTTCACCCTTGCTTCTCCCAAAGCCATTAACTGCATTCCAATTGATGATTCATTAGCCTCTGGTACTCTGCTTCACCTTAAACCTACACAGAATCTATACATCACTTTTAATCAAGGTAAATATTTAACTACATAATTACACAGTTTTCAGTTCATATTTTACTTAATCATTCTGTTTCACTCATAATGACTGTAGTTTAGTAAAACATGCCTCTTTACAATAAATCCAATTATATATTTAATTGGCCTTAATGAAATGAAAGGTACTCGGGATTTTCTTTCTAGAGAACTAAACTTTGACCATGGCAACCTGATGAATTCTGCTCACCTGTTGTATATGCAAAACATTAATCTTCATAAGTTGTGGTATTAGCACTTGGAGGGCATTTACTGCCAGACAGTGGAACAATACAAAAATAATCTTTAATGAACTTTTTAAGACCTTTGATCAACAATGTCACCTGTTACAGGTGACATTGTTGATCAAAGGTCTTAAAAACGTAGGGCAAAATGGCTTCACCGGTCTGGCAGTTTTTCAAGGTGTCCGAAAAAGACAATAAAATAGCTATATGCAACGAGAGAGGAAAAGAGAGGCTCCGTTTATTTCTCCCGTGTTATTAACCAAAGTTAATGTAAACTTTTGAATAATATACTTCATCTAGTATAAGTAGTTTGTTTGAATGTAATAATGATGTTGTTTGTTGTTTGTGGAAGTGCATCATTTATTGAAAAATGAATCTGAACTTTTCGATCCGTTACAATTATAAACTGAAGCAAAATAAAAATGAGCCCCATTAAATTAGTCTTAAACATCAGCATATATTACCGGTCATAGTCCGGTAATTACCGGCTAACGGAAACTCTGCTACACAATTCACAATAGAACACTTTAAATGGAAGATCCCCATAGCCTCTCAAATCAAATGTCAATAACTCACTACAGCCGTTGATGGACTGCTTGATAGAGATCAAATCCTGGACAACCTCAACGAGAGCAAGACAGAGGTCATCTTTTTTGGACCCCAGCCTCCAGCCTCTCTGGTTGATACTCTGGGCTCTCTCAACAAAAACCTCCTCCCCTCTGTCATGAACCTTGGAGTGACCTTCGATAGTGCTTTTAAATTTGATGAGCAGGTCAGCTCCGTAGTCAAAACCTGCTTTTTAAAATAAGACTATTGGGCAAGACCACGTCGTTTTTATCTTTTAAAGACCTAGAAAGGGTTATTAATGCCTTTGTTACCTCGAGACTGGACTACTGCAAAGCTCTGTATGTGGGTATGGACCAGGCCTCAATTAGACGCCTGCAGCTAGTGCAGAGCGCAGCTGCACATCTTCTGACTGGCCATAAAAAGCGTGACCATATCACCCCAATTCTGGCCTCACTACACTGGCTTCCAATTCGGTTCCAAATTGATTTTAAACTCCTTTTATTTGTTTTCAAAGCCCTAAATGGGCTGGCTCCGGCTTATATAGCTGAATTCCTCCATCGCCACACCCCTGCCAGAGCTTTAAGGTCTGCTGACCAGCTGCTGCTGATAGTGCCCAAGACCAGGCTCAAAACCAGAGGGGACCGAGCCTTCGCAGCAGCTGGCCCCAGGCTCTGGAACAGTCTGCCCAGACCCTAGGGGTTTTTGAATCTCCACTGAAGACACACTTCTTCTCTCTGGCCTTTTAGTCAGAGCTGAGTATGACACCTGACATTTCCCTATGCTTTGTTTTTATATTTCTTTCTTATGTTTTAGTAGTGTGCTTTTATTACATGTACAGCACTTTGGCTAGACCAAAAATCGTATTTAAATGTGCTCTATAAATAAAACTTGATTAGATTTGATAGCCCCCACCCATCCTATGATCGGTGATCGGTATCGGGCCAAAAACCCTGATCTGAGCATCCCTAATTAGAATTTGTGTATCCTTTAATCTTCTTTTACTTTGAAAAACAATTAACCGGCTTATATTATGTACATTCTGACCAAAGTTCCGGTCTCATTATTATAAATGTCCTCATCGGAATTTTGCAAAAAAAACAAATAAGCCCATTCCATAGACTGTGTACATTTTCTTGCACTAACATAAGCTAAAATAGTTGAAGTACTTACTCAGACACTGTGGTGTAAGGTATGAGCCGTCCGTTCCAGAAACAGTCAAATATCGGCCTTTTCCTTCTTTCCTGATGCAGGACTCCAGGCTCATTATCACCATCATCTTCATCATCAGGGGCTGATGGACAAAAGACAAACATTGAAATTCAGTTTTGATCCAAAGCTCTAAATTGTCATATTCAAGAGTTTGAATACCTTGCACAGCATTAGGGTCCTCAGGGTAAGTCTCCCTGTCATACAGGAAGGGATGATACCGAATGAGTCCATCCACTGTGCCGCCATCTTGTGCAGTGGTGGCCTTAAACTCAAACGTGTCCACAGCTGATTTTATGTACATAGTCTGAATGTCGTTTTCCACCTCTCTAAGATCCATCACAACGGGAGGCTTGTCACGTAAACTGATCTGTTCGAAAGAGATAATGAATATTAGCAGAGAAAGACTCAATTAAAAGCATCAGCAGAATGTGGAACGGTTACCTCACCATGATTTTTATTTCAGGGTGACAATCCGAGTCTGCGGAGCTGTCTCTCATTTCCTTTCCATTGACTCCATGAATGTAGTAGTGGTATACTTCACTGAAACATGGTCAAAACATTTTTTATGAGTTAAAGCAGAAAACATTGGACCTGTTAAGAGTTTTAAGTTCATATCAAATGTTGCGGGTAAATGAACTTACGCCAGCTGTCTCGTCCACACTTTGATATCCTGTTTTAGAAAAGCGATGTGATCAGGAAAGACTCCTGTAATGACCACAGCCGTGAACTTTTCCTTGCCGGATTCCTCTAGGATGAGGTTATGAAGGAAGCGCTCATCATTTGTTTTCACATGTGAAAGGTCGCCGGGCTGCATGAGGGGGTTGAGACATCAAACAGAGGATAAATAGCAGAGACATTAACACAAAGAGCTTCAAAAAAGCTTGATAACATTGTTATTGAAGTTACAAACGAGCACCGACTTCATTCAATCAGAGTACTTACCTTCCTGTTTCGAATGATCCCACTGTAAACATCCTCTTTGTTCTTCACCTTTTTCTCAAAGTCTTGTTTGGAAATAACCATCTCATGAACATCCGGGGAGCCATATGGTTTACTGATCATCTAAAACACCGAACAAAACCAATCTATCGTTAGTTTCTGCTCATTCACAACAGTGAGACACGTTACAAATACATGCTGGCACACATTCCTGGTAGAAAACTTGAATGCCGTATTTATTTATTATCTATTTTATTTCACTGTTTATCTAGATGTCAATGCACATTACATGTATAAATATAGCAATATCTCTAGTCTCTAGGCAGAAGACACAAATGATCATTCCTCAGTGTTGTAAAGGTTTTAGAAACCAAAAAGTAAAGAAAAAGAGTGTGAGTGATACATTAGTGTTCCTTCTTATGGTAGTGTTTGTTTAAGTGTCTGGTATTGCTTCATTTGAAACTATATTCACTGAAGACTAACCCTGACTGAGTCTCCAATGTGGAAAACAGCCTGTTTTCCTCCAACTCCAAAGAAGGATATATCGCTGTTGAGACTGCGAGGGACAGGATCAGGCCGAACATATCCTTCATCCTCACTGTGAAAAGAATAATTATAATCAAACTCTGGGCATGTTAAACTAAAAAGGTACAATATTGAAAGCTTACGTTGAAATTACATGACTGATTTAAAGCTAGAAAGTGAAGAAGGTAGAGCAAACAAACCTTCCATAGGAGCCGACATCCCTGGTAAACTTAGAGAGTCTGTACACAGCCCAGTTTTTGAGTTGTTTAGAGGTCATCCCGCACCCGTTATCTAAAACAATCACTGCAGGTTTCCCGAGAGTGTCATCAAACATCTGTAGAGAGAGGTCCGACATCAGTAAACAAAGACAACGACTTTGAACTCTTTATGGAAATGACATGAATGGTTAACCAAGATGCAAAAGAAGAAGGCGAAGTATTTGGTCATTTAAGGATTTGCAAATTCAGAACCAACCATGCGTATTTCTATCTTCCTCACTCCTTGGTTTTTAGCTGTGGCTGAAAGAGCGTTGTCGATCAGCTCAGCAAGTGAGTATGCTGGGAAAATGCAAGAAAAAGTAGCAGGCAATGAGTATATGCAGATTATGTCCCTTTCATGCATTCTACTTTGATTATTTAAGAACTTACGCAATGGGTTCTGTCCCCTGCTAGCCCAGTACTCATAGGTGCCACTCTGTATCAGCGTATCATAGTGAGGAGTAAAGTTGATGTTCTCTTCTGTCGCCGCAGCCAGAGCTTGGTGTTTCTGTTTCAACAAGTGGAGGGTGCTGTCATCTTGAAGCTCGTCTGCAATAAAATAAAATGTATCTGTACTATGTAGACTGATATATAAATTCTTACATGAACGGTCAAGTTTCAAAACTGAAAACAAATTCAGAACAAAGTCAGAAAAATATTAACAATTTTCCACAACATTTCGAAAATATTTGTTTAATTGTCTCCTCTATAATGATGAATGATAGTTTATCTACTTTTCATAAAAAATATTTGTTTTACTCACCAAATATTTTAGAATCCAGGACTGCTCTGTCTGTTGTGGCCAACACAAATGTTTCATTTGAACGGATCCCAAATGTCTGTTAAGGAATATCAAAAGTAAGTGAGTGTTCATTTGTTTCTTTGTTGTGTCACTGATTTATTAGAGTCTCTTTAGTCAATCAACACAACATTATTTGGCAAATATTTAGATTATTTTATTTAATATTTTTAGATTTTGTTAAGAACAATAGCCGCGTTCACACCGCAGTACTTTTCCCACTTTAGTTCCGATATAGTTCCGAAATGTCGCGTTCACACCATAAAAAGCCGGAACTAAAATTAGTTCATCAGAACCTTTTTTACCCCCTTTTGCTAGAGAGCAGGTACTTTCGTGGGAGAAAAAGGTTCCTATGTCTGATTGGCTGGGCGGAATGCAAACCACACCCCGTAAAACACCCAAAACGTTTTGTGAAGCCGCCATTTTATTATCCTCGCATTAGCATTAGCCCAGCGCACAAACGCAGAGAGACTAACTTATGGCAACACAAAAGAAAACATGGGAGCGGTGGAGATGAGGAGGTGCCGGCGTTCTGGTGATTTACTCGGACTTCTGGCCGGGGACTTCGGGTGGCAGTATACGCCGTGAAGTTGTTTGCGGCCTGCCAGTAAACCCAAAGCAAAAGAAGAAGAAGTGACGTCAGCGGCTTCATTTGCCTAATCCTTCCCCAGGAACTTATTCCGGTGTGATCGCGATCTGTACTTAGTTCATGAGAACTAAAGAGTTCTCATGAACTCACGGACCTTTGTGGGAGAAGTACTGCGGTGTGAATGCACCTATTGTGGACAGTTCAGAGTTTCTTCATTATGAGGATTTCAGCTTTTTTATTGTTAGTCAATGGGGAAAAGTCTTTCTGGGCCCAGTGACGTCACAGACTGATACGGAAATTGTAGTACCGCCGTTTGGACACAACGAATATTTTCATCAGAGTCCGGCGCACTTCCTGGGGGCATGATGCATTTATCTGATATTTAACAACAAATTCACAGCCAGCGAGTCGCTTGATTTGAGCTTCCAACGCTCATACTGCAGCCCCTCCCTCTCCGACTGCTACCATGGTAACACTCTGATACTCGAGTGCACCACTCTCAGATTGTTTGTTTGTTTGTAGCCTTTATTTAACCAGGTGAAGCCCCTTGAGATCAAAAGATCTCTTTTTCAAGGGTGACCTGCAGGACATTAGTTACACATGTAACATCAGAACAACAATAAGGATGACAAACAACATAATGTACAGGGTACAGTTTACAAACTCTATTTACAGAGACAGGTACCATGAGTATCAAACAGCATGTCACCCAGCTGAGTTTTAAAATGATGCAGGGGAACCAAAGTGCTCAGTTTTAAACATGTTTGCAGACTGTTCCAATTTAGTGGAGCTGCACAACTAAAAGCTTTCTTCCCTAAGACAGTCCTAGCACTTAGCACATTTAATAAAACAACATCATGAGATCTCAGGCAATATGTACTTTCAATTCGTCGAGAGATCAGAGAGCAGATATAAAAAGGTAGTTTACCCAACATGGCTTTGTAAATGAACATGTACCAATGACTGAGCCTCCGTACAGTTAGTGAAGGCAGACCTGCCTTGGCCTACAGGGTACAGTGATGAGTAAGTGCTTTACAGTTAGTAACAAATCTCAGGGCACTGTGATAGGCGGCATCTAACTTTTCCAGGCAATGGGCAGGTGCATTCATATACATCAAATCACCATAGTCCAGCACAGGTAAAAAGGTCACAGTGACTAGCCTTTTCCTGACTTCAAAAGAGAAACAGGACTTGTTTCTGAAAAAGAAACCTAGTCTAACCCTCAGCTTTTTAAGCAGGTTATTGACATGAAGTTTAAAAGTAAGACAATCATCAAGCCAGATACCTAGGTATTTATAACTGGTAACCACTTCAAGTACTTGTCCTTGCATAGTAACAATATCCAAAACAGGCTCTGGTGTCTTTTTAGCTTTTGAAAATAGCATTACCTTAGTTTTATCAACATTTAAAATAAGCTTAAGTTCAGCAAGCTGAGTCTGAATAATGTTAAAAACAGCCTGTAATTTAACACCAGCCTCCTTAATGGAGGGACCTGCACAATACATCACGGTATCATCAGCATAAAAATGTAAAGTAGCTTCATCCACATTTTCACCTAAACTGTTGATATATATGGAGAATAAAAGTGGACCTAAAACAGAACCTTGAGGAACACCATTAGCAATGTTTAACCACTCAGAAGACAGCCCATCAAAGTGAACACATTGGGACCTTTCAGAGAGGTAGTTCACAAACCAACCCTACTGCATGGCTGGATATGCCGATACTGAGTAGCCTCTGCTTTAAGATGCGATGATCGACGGTATCAAACGCTTTGGAAAGGTCAATAAATAGAGCTGCACAACTCTGCTTATTGTCTAAAATACTCGCAATGTCATTAGAGATTCAGATTCACGGGCACAGACAGCAGCAAAACGTGTGTTTCTTTCTACTGACTGGACTGGAGTTGACAAAAATCCACCATACTTCTAGAAGGTAAGTCGTATACATTCGTTGTTAATAAAAAGGAGCTGTGGGAGTACTTATTCATAAATCACCTAACACATGTAATGGGGCATTCTACCGAATTCATGCAAAGTGCGATCCCACAACAACAAAAACTATATAACAAAACAATTAAGTATTCAGACATAGATATTTACTAAGAATATGTTATGGTCTATTTAAACATAAGGCATTCAATTATATAGTGATAAGCTTAATATATACAAAAACATCATTTATAGGGTACTTTCTATTGGGAAGTACACTTAAAACATTTTATTTTTGTTGAATGGTGTATTTAGAAGATCTGTATGATTACATTCAAACAGAAGTTGGAATATTTATATTTATTGTGGGTTTAATTTTTTAATAAAAAAACTATACTCAAAAAATCATGTCCCCAGTTTTCATGTCACTACCGAAACACAAGGGGTTTTAGTCCAATGGCTGAGCCTGGTTTTTAGCTACACCCCTGCACTTTTGACAAATCAAAAATAAATAAACATGGCAGTGACACTGCATCCGTGTCCATGGCTGAATGGCAAGTAGCTATATCCCATACTTTTGATATAAATCTGTTCCAAAATCTGAAAATCGGCGTGTAACCTTAAGAATTGTCACTACCGAACACATATTATCTTCAATTAAGTAAACTTTTTCTGAGTTTTATGCAAAGTATTAGGTTTTTATGTGTGTAAACCTCTTCAAAAACATGTATGCTAGCCATGTACTTGCTAGCATTCTTTAGTTATGCTCAATTTTAGCTAGAATCGTCACTACCGAAACAGTCACTACCGAAACATATGGTTACGTTTCGGTAATTGACATGATCGTTTTGGTAGTGACAAAATGGAATGGTAAGCAGGTAAATCCCAGTTTTGAAATAAATGTGTTTTAAAGTCTGAAAATCAGTGTGTTACTTTAAAGGTCTCCTATTATACTATTTGTACGCATATATTATAGGTCTCAGATATATAAAAAACATGTCTATGAAGTAGGGGTGTAACGGTACACGTACCCGTACCGAAATTATTCGGTACGGGCCCTTCGGTTCGGTACAGGTGTGTACCGAAGTGTACCGAACGAATATAACGTTAAAGGTAAAAAATTGAGAATGTGAACAACTTTTTGGAAGTAATCTCAGGTGCTGCGTTGCAGCACCTGAGAGTAATTTGCTCACATTGGGTTCAACGCGTCATAGAGCGAGCAGGTCATTTCATTGGATGAGAGGCATACTATGAGAGCTGGTCAGAGGGATGCGTTCAAATATAGTCAGTAATTTGAGGAACTGTCGAAAATGAATGACGAACGCAGATAAAGTTGAGCTCGAAAATCCTCCAGCATCATTGAAGTCTCCGGTTTGGGAACATTTTGGTTTCGCAGTTACGTACAAGGATGACGGACAAAGACAGGTGGACCAAACCAAAGCTGTTTGTCGGCATTGTTCAACTAAAATTGGTTACGCGGCTGGCAATACATCAAACTTGCACACTCTTGAAAAGGCATCACCCGAACGTGAATATCACCGGTACCAAAAGAAAAAAGACTGAAGTGCAAACCCAACTCCCGCTAGCATTCAAGCCTCCACCACTCGCAGAGAGTTCAGACCGAGCCAAAGCTATTACAAACACCAAATATCCTTATGTTGCCATGTTAGCAAAGCGCTACCTGGCTGTATCTGCTACCTCTGTCCCTAGAGAGGGTGTTCTCCACAGCAGGAGACATTGTTAGTGCCAGCAGATCTGCCCTTTCGGCAAGCAATGTGGACAAGTTCATTTTTCTTTAAAAAAACATGAAAATACAATGACAAGCAAGTCCTAATGTCAAACTGGCTGCTTAGGTGCTAGTACAGTTCATACAGATTATTTCAGTTCATCGAAATGCTGCACCTTAATGTTCATTTTATTATATTTTGTATTTATTTGAGTGAATACATTATTCACAGTTTAATAATAATAAATATATATATATATGTTTTGTTTTGTGAAAAAAAATTCTGCTGTACCGAAAACGTACCGAACCGAACCGTGACCAAAAAACCGAGGTACGTACCGAACCGAAATGTTTGTGAACCGTTACACCCCTACTATGAAGTGTTTTGCACAAAATACCAAACACATCACCCATTCTAGCCTCATCGCCCACTATTTCAGCCTGTTACTAAAGTGCTGATTCTGGGTCAGTAGCTTCAAACATTCACACGTCAACATAAGGCATGTTATTATGAGTAATGATTAAACAATAAGGTTGATACAACCTTGAGAACTAAATACTGTGGTCACTACCGAAACACTGGATGTTTTGTAAAAAATCAAGTATATTGACTTATCAAATAAAATGATATGATACTGATTGGTTTAATGTATGTTCAATTTCAACAATCATCAACTCTGGAATCAATATGATCAGTATTATGCATTTTACAAAGAAAAATTGCATTGAGATTTTTATGAATTGTATAAATTGAACTTTGAAATTTGATTACAAATTAAATTGCATTGATTTAATTGTGAAAACCCTCAAGAAATATTTGTTAAAATACTATTTAGATAAGGGAAGGTAAAACAATCTTAACAGGTTAATATAATACTTTTTGACTACAGTGTATGTACTATGTTTCGGTAGTGAGAAGTGACCATTTTTGGTAGAGGAATACACTTGTGAAAAACACAAGTGTGGATCCGGAAATACAAGTGTGAATCCTTCTGTGTGCATGTGTGTATTATGAGACTTCTGAGCCCAGAGGAAGAACATTCCAATACAGTCTGAAAATACGATATAAAAATGTACGGTTATTTGACTAGATATGTGTAATTTAGATATGGTACAAAATATATATGGACAACGTTTTGGGAAAAAAACATACAACATTTCAAAACTGTTCCAACCTGACTTTGCATCAATTCAATAGAATGGCCCGTATACATAACACAAAACAAGGTTATTTTAAATGTTGTTTGAAGTTAAATGTTAACTATCCATATTATATTCACTTCAGATGAATAGTATCAGAAAATGTAAAATAAGAAACCAAAGTATATCAGTAGGTGATTCTCTTTGCCATTGTTTTCATCTAGTCTATACTTTTACAACAATTCAATTGTTGGTTTTGGTGTGCCACCCCAAGATTTTCTTTAGCCCCAGTGGCCACCCTTATGATACTTTTCTGGAGGCGCCACTGGTGGTAGGAGATCAACACCAACTGACCATGGACGAGTTTTCTTCCACACAGAATAGTTAGGTATCCTGTTGAAGTCACGTGTGAGCTCTAACACAAGTAAATAAAATGTACGTTACCCGGTGCAGAAGTTTAATAAAGCCTTTGAAGTCCAAACCACTCGTTTCCAGCATTTCCTGGTTAACTTTCTCCCCATTTTTGGAGCGGCAGTCGTAAATACGAATCCTTCTGCGTACTTTTCCTCCTTCCATGAAGGCTGGAGAGAGAAACACCTTCTTAACCTCAATGTATAGGAGCTCACGTTCACTAGCTAGCTAAGCCACATGTGCCATGCAGTTTGCAGTCGTCCCAGACTTTTTACAAATACCCACGGCGATTGAACTGCATGTTATGCATCTGTCCCAGCCTTCAGCTTCAGCTTCAAACACACTATGCCCTCTCTTCGTAGTTAGTTCGCGTGCAGTTCACACACGTTCGCTTGTACGGAAGCTCATTGGACATACACACAGCATCTACTTCCGCGAAATGGAAACTGAAACACAGCGCTAAGTTGTAAAAGGCGCTCTGCCTTCGGTATCATTTTCAGAGAAATCCCGTTGTGTGGACTGGATACGTTGTGTTTTTTTTTGTTGGGCGGGACATGGCTGCTGCACCGCGACACAGTGAGCTACTTGTAACATTTAGATGCGTTGATGCCAGATAAAGCCACAGATTTGACTATGTCCGTGGTGCTGGTAAACACGCAGGGCTGTGTTTTGGATGCACGCTCCCTCATTGATAAGGGATATTTGCATTGCATCCGAGTAAGAGAAAATAATCAGAAGTCACATGTGAATTGCCGTTTCAAAGGGCAGTGTTTTCAGATCTTAAAAAGCCATTTGGATGCGATTGCTAGTGTTGCTGCTGATGGAGGAAACATAGAAACGTTGCAGAAAACAGACAAACCAACGAAGGTAAATCAGGGGCTCAAACATCTATACAGCGACAACTGCTGGTTACCCACCGATTTACAATCACCAACATGAGCAGACTATAAAATAGTTTTTTAAAATTTGTATTTGATGCATGGCTGTTGTATTACACTGGATTACAAACTGAGAAATTAGTGTATGAGGTCTCTTCAGGAATCAGAGTTGTAATAACTCCCATTAAACTTTTTTTAAACGTAGTAAAGCAATCAGAGACACATACTGTTATATGTAAGTGTGTGTTTTTTAAATCTAACATTCTCCCTGAAAAAAAAAAAGTGTATCTGCTTTGTGTGAAGAAAAATACATAAATTGTAATTTATTTAACTTTCAGAAGAGGAAAAGAAAACACAGTGAACTCAACCAGGGGGAAATTGATTCACAGGCTTTCCATAAGAAGGTAGGTTGAATCTCTTTTTCTAACTTAAGTCTTGGCTGCATCTGTGAAAGAAAATGAAATGACAAAAACAAAAGTACCTCAAAATTGTATTAAATATCTTTCCATCACTGAGAATTAAAAGTTGTATTTCATACACAATAATATAAAGTTTGCTGATGCAGATCAGGTCTGTCGTCCTGGAGGGAACCAAGTCTTTGGTGGATTCTGCCCGATCTCTGGGATATCTTAATGGCACTTCAACAACAGACACAGTGAAGGAGCCTCTTCCCTCTCAGGAGTGCAGCCTTGCCGCTCTCTGTGAAATGGCCAAAGAGCTTCCTCTAGTGGCCGACGAGCAGCAGGAGGAGTGTGCTCAGCCACTTGTTACTGCAGATGGCAGTACGTCACATGTGGACTTGTTCTCTCGGGTCACAGAGAATAGGGCAGACTGGGCAACAGTGGTCAAACTGATGGGAGAGGAGTATGTAATACCACCACACACAGCCTTCCTGCTTTCTGATTTCACAAAAATACAACCCATAGTCCACTGTGAGTACAATCTAAGGAAGTAAAACATTTTGTAAATATTAGTCAGACCATCTGGAAAAGCTTTGACAAAATGTATTACAGGTGTCATCACTGCAGGATTGTGGTAACTGCTTTCCTTATAGATACAAAAAAAGAGATACATGTTTTTTGTGGCATTAATGAATGCATTTTTGATGCATCTCAAAAGTGGCGGTCCACTTGCCTGACATTGGTAACTAAAGCTACTTGTTTCTCACACAGATGGAAGAAGGTTTGACTTAATAGTGATGGATCCACCGTGGGAAAACAAGTCTGTGAAAAGAAGTCGCAGGTAATTTGACATTTGAAGTGTGAAAATAAGTTTTTCTAGTGATTACAACAGCACAAAAACAGGCTAAAGGGTTCGGGAAAATGTCAGAAAAAATGAACTGTATACAATTAAAATAAGACAGTATATTCAAAAGCTATATACATTTCCCCTAGTAATGTTGCTCCCAGTATCTTTGCTTATAACCCCTTCAAATGAAGAAATGTTTACTGAAGATCCCTGAGTTGTATCCATTTAAAAAGTGATATTACAGTATATAATGTGACAGTCAGGACCTTTTTAAGAATCAAGTAGAGAAGGGTTTGCATTACATATAATAACATTATAATTGTTTTTACCTTATTTTCTCAATAAAGATACAGTTGTTTGCCCTCATCCCAGCTAAAACGGATGCCTATACCCTTACTGGCCTCCCCAAACGGTTTAGTGGTCACCTGGGTCACAAACAGGCCCAGCCACCTGCGGTTTGTCCGTGATGAGCTGTATCCACACTGGGGGGTAGAAGTTGTGGCTGAATGGCTCTGGATCAAGGTACAGAAACTTGTATGTCTCAATCATAAACATCTGAGCTATTGGAGAGATTCCAGATGTTTTCAGTTTTTTTTTCCCCTTAGGTGACCACATCTGGAGAGTTTGTGTTTCCACTGGATTCTCATCATAAGAAGCCATATGAAGTGCTGGTGCTGGGACGATTTCGTCCCTCTTCAGATAACGAAACAAGGTAAAATATGTGTGACTTGTCTGTGTCACTTTACATACCATTTATGCTATAACAATTCAATGATAAAATGTTGTTTTTTCAGCTCTTCAGAGGCATCAGAGGTTCCTGTGGAGGATCAGCGTTTGATTGTCAGCGTCCCATCAGCTCTCCATTCCCAGAAGCCCTCACTCTCAGGTAAATATTCCAGCATGTTTCTGAATGCTTGGTATGTCCAAGAAATACAGCACTGTTACATGTATGTGTTTTACTGTGCCACTAGAGGGCAATGCTGCAACATCAGAGATTGTTATCTTTCTTGATAAATCCAATGATAAAAGTCTCCTATAACATAAGCAAAAGCTAAGGCACTAAAACTGAGTCAGTTGTTTAGGTTTGCATGGTTGAAATGTACGCAAACTTCATTTTTTTCCATGTTGGAACACGACACTTCTACACTGTTTTGTTATACGAGAAACCAAACCACCAAAGTAATGTGTTCATAAGTATTGTCATTTTATAAGTGGGAAAATCACACTTTTAAATGTATAAGTTGCTTTTCCAACATAGGCAATTTCTTTATGAATTATGTTGAGAGATAACCTCTCAAAAATAACATGCATGAATCCTCTCACAATAAGGTAACTCGTGACCGGTTTGATTTGTCAGATAAGCACGTTTTAATCAAATGTGTCCTGGAAGAAGACTTGACTTCCAACACGGACCCTTGCTACTTTGCATCAATGTAAAACCTTGACAATGAATATGCAGGATCTATGAATAAGAGGCTTGACGTCATGTCCCTCCCTCTCAGGGGAACGCGATTTATTGTGCAGTATGGAGTGCAAAACACAGCTAGTGTTTACCGGCGTCCTTTCAAACGCTCAGAAAGCCTCCACCTCATGGAAGTGGCTCGATATTGCTAAACATTTTTATTTCAATCATAATCATGCCATAGTGGAGCTGTGATAGCATAGAGATTAAGTAGATTAGCACACACATTCTGTTCTATCTCCTGTGATTCTTAGTTCATGCCTAGCACTCACAGCAGGTTTAATCAGAACAGGTTTAATTGTTTTCTTTATTTGCTGTTTTTGTTTTTTGAGTTGTAATCCAGACATCTTTATTTAGATGTGCACAGCTGCAAATGTAATGGCACTAACAATTAAATACAAAAGTAAACATTTTAAACAAATGTGTACTACTATATTCCCAGAAAGAAAAAGCAGCATCTGTTACTGTGGTGCACCTCATTTGAATCGGTTTTAAATCTGAAAGCTCTGTTGTTGTTGTTGTTGTTGTTGTTGGGCGTGGCTCAATGCTGTGAGTGAAAAAAATTGTAATTGCAGGTTGTCATAAATATTAGAAGGGCCTGACCCAACTCTTGCAGAGCTGCTAATAAAGCTGTTTATTTATTTAACTATTTGACTTGATCATTAAACACCTCAGGGCTTGAAGTTTTTTTTATTTTGTTCACTCATGCAATGAATTATGCAACTGGTTGAAATTTCAAAAATATGTTCCAAGACCTTTGGCATTAATCAGCCTTTACTTTCTTACTCTCATCTCAAGCTACCGTCCTTGTAATTATTCTGCAATTTTGTTGAGCATGTCCTGTGTGCTAGAGCCAGTGGGCAGCCTCTGGTGTGAAGCCACAACCCTGGAGTCTGCATCGTTGAGAAACCCTGCCCCACTTCTCCTCCCCTCTCATATAGGGCTCAGATCACTGACATATTTGGTTGCTATGGAGAGATATGGAACACTATTACTGATACAACACATCCAAGCCAGATGGTCAAGCGGCAGGAAAGAAATGTGCTTGCATTTCTCTGTACAACAAGCCCCTATTAATTAGGACCCCATACAACCATAGCAATTGTGAAAAAAGCTCCCTCCCCAACGTGGTAATATAATTAGTGGTTAATTGGCTGTTCCCTAATATTCGTGTCAGGAAGAGGCACATCGCCATTTGTTAGGGCTGCATCAGTGTTGACTAGAAAATTGATCCATCATATTGAGCTATGTATCAATGTGTTTCATTGACAGCTGTAATAGTTATTTCCTTGGTCAGCTCTACCACTTTACATCTTCACTTTTAAGCAGAGGTCATATTGCAGGTGTATTTTTTTTCTTTTGGTTGGAATCACTTTGGTTCGTTAAGGAGCGGCATCGTGTTTTGGGTTTGTTCGTACAGTTTTATATTCATAAAATCGACCAATAAGTAAAATACTTGTAAGCAGTTTTTTTTGGCAGTGAATGATAAAGAGAGAAACATGTATTATTTTATTGGGTGTATACCATGGATGTATAATAAGGTGTATACAAGTGTGGAGGCAACAGTGCAAAAGTGGGATTTTATGTTATTTTGGGATATAAACTGTACAATTAGAAATAATTGAAAGAAGATTAAGATGGGGCAAAACACAAGACCCTGTGGGACTCCACATCTGTGATGCGAGTCGAATTCATTGATGATATCTTGAAAACATTCCATAAGAAAGATAGACTAAAATGTTACCTATTCCAACTATGTTTATAATGTATTGCCATATTTATAAGATTATTAAACAACTCAGATTAGCAGGGTTTCAAGAAAATTTATATTTGAAAGTGTGGAATAAATAACGATACTGTAATTGAACTGGTG